GATGTCTGTGGTCACAATTAGCAACGGGCACAGACTGAATTATTCTCTTTGCAAACAAAAAAAGAGGAAAAAAATATTTCAAACATTATGTCAATGGAAAAAGTAAGTATCTTTGCCTTGCTTTTGTTCCAAATTCCATATTTTTCATAATTTATCTAAACCATCAACATGTAACTACATAAAGCATTCTGTATATAAAAAATGTTAGCAGTGAATCTGTTATTTCGACAAGGAAATGTGGATTTATGTATAATATTATTGCTTTTTCAAATGTAACGTAAGTTGTTATGTAATTTTGGCCAAACAGTGCATGCCAAAAATCCTGCAGCCTGAGCGTTTATTTATTCAACAGTCTTAAAGCTGTGTCTATTTCTCCAAACATAATAATCGTGCATGATTCGGGCATCCATTTGCAATCAGAATATTACTCCGATAAATCACAATTAGACTCTGATCAATCTCGCCAAAAGTGAGCAGCCTGCCATACACTCATTTCCCATCCGCCCGTTCTTTGACCTCAAACCGGCTCCGCAACAAGACCTTTTTTATCAGTCAAAAACCAATCAGGCCGAGAAAACCAGTCGTGCCCTGGGCCTTTCCTGCAAATCACGTAGTTAGCCATTTCCCAGCCCCTGCCTTGGGATACCCCTGCTTACATCGATGCCTCCGTCTTTAAAGCCACCATTTTAGCCGCTCATCCTTGCTGGAGTGGATAATTACATTTGTGGATGTACAGGTCTCGTGGACAGCAGCCTGTTTTTGTGTGTGCGTGCGCGATGGAGGCGGAGGAGAGGGAGGTAACCTTGGGCTGAAAGACTGATGTGTTTAACTGTACATGAACCGTCGATATGTCACCCCCGCTGCAGCCTTGTGTCATTCAAGCTTCTTTGTTTTGCACGAGAAGCGCGATTATTCACCGCTGGAGCAAAGAGAGGATTGACAAGATTGAATAAAAGATAAGTGCTTTGCCTCTTTCATGCATAGATCAGGAATACATTTCACCAATGACATTTTGCCAACACATTATGCGCTTGTAATGAGGCCAAGCTGTTTATTTATTCAAGGGAAAGTTTTGCTGTTGTTTTAATATTTTAAGTTGAATGCGTCCCGTCAAGCAGCAATGCACCGGCTGATGAAACCATTGAGCTTTCAACTTCGAGCAGGTCGATATCATCAATTACTATCATTCTAATTGTACCCAGGCTCACACACAAATTCACCTTTTCCTTCCAAAATATTTTTTTTTTTTTAAGTTTCTAAAGCTAATCACTAATAACACAACCCCTATAACACAAACCCAAATGGTTTAGATCAGGGGTGTCAAACTTATTTTGGTTGAGGGCCGAATAAAAAATGAAAGGGCTGGTCAGGGGCCGAAAGAATAAGTGGGTTTCATTTATTATACTTTTTTATAATATGAAGGCATCTATTTAAAGTCATATAGATATAAATCTATATATTAGTTCAGTTCCTGTGGACTGAACCAAAACTGGACCAAATATCTAAGGTATATGGGAAGATTCTCTACTTCCAGGTGGATCATCAAGACTATTGGTCCTCCCAACTGTCAATCATTCTGGTGATTCGTGCTCATCAAATAAGACCAGACAGTTTTGTTCAAAACATGTAGAGGGCGGTTCTTTCCTAAGAAAATTGGGAAATCCTCCTTCATATCTTTAAGAAGAAATGTAATTGAAGACTCGTAAAAAAAAACATAACAATACTAACTTCTAATTACATTTTAGCTTAACATTTCTTATGGAATTAAGTTTTATGGTTGTTAGTAATGGATAACATGCCATTCACAACTATCAATGCTGCTATTTAATGAATAATTTGAAATCATCTCAGGGGCCACTGGAAATTGTCTGGCGGGCCGGATCTGGCCCCCGGGCCTTGACTTTGACACCTATGGTTTAGATGCTGCTTGATGGTAAACGGGCCTAAAACCAAGTGAGATGCCCCAAAGAGTAAGTGATCCACCAAACAGTTGAGGAAACTTTTAAAGGGTTAAACCACCACATTAGCAGAACGACCTTATTTCATAAAACAATCTCAACGATTTGATTATATTTTTATGAAGCAGCATGTGGTTTGGAATAGAACCCCGTTAAGGTATAAAAGATTTTTATGTAACAGCATCAACGCAAGAATCCGAAGCCATTTTGGGTATATTAAAACGCAGTAGGCGGTTGCAAAATATAACACGTATACATTAACTTTCCACAATTGGATTTCTGTAAAAGAGTTTTCGTCTTTCTCATTACTGCGCCTTGTTATTTCTTAGCCTTCAAATATCATGTCGTTCTAACTCGTCTTTTATTTACTGCGGAGCCTTTAAAAAGTGGATGTGCACTTGGAGCGGACCCAATGCGACCAATTGGCAGCACACAGAGGAGCAGGTGGGACTGGGGCTGTTCAAGGGCACCCGCACACAGGTGATGGATGTGTGTGCACTTCTGCCTCACGTCCACTGTCCTGGTCCACACCGCTAAGCACCAGATTCAAATGAAGTGGGTTGAAATATTGAATTATAGAATATAGTGTATAACTATTGTGACGGCGGACAGCTTTTTTTGTTTTTTTAATGATTGCATTGTTCGGTCTGTGTTGGCGAATCGACGACATGGTAAAGTCCTCCGAGATAACTCCTGTTGTGATTTAGGGCTGCACAAAAATAAAATTGAATTGAAATTGAATTGAATATTCTTCAAACCAGGCGGCACAGCAAGAAGGACCTGGGTTTGAATGGGAACAGGGCCTTTCTGAGTGGAGTTTACATGTTCTCCCCTCCTGCGTAGGTTTCCTCCAGGTGCTCCGGTTTCCGGTTACCACTAAAAACATGTACAATAGGTATGAATGTAATGAGTGAGTGAATGGATGCTGTTGAATGGGGCTTTGATGGTCCAGTGTGTTTGGCGTCTCGCTTCCGTCATCACCGTGTGTGAATGGAAATTATCTGATTTCTGAACAATGTAAAGTGCTCGTTGGTCTGTAAAATGCGCTATATAAATAAACAATACTGATTTACTTACTTACTTAATATAGCCCTTTGTACAGTTTATGGTAGGTACACTGTAACAACACTAATGACGCCTACTCCTTTTGATGGCCGTAGACCGGGGGTGTCCAAACTTCTTACTAAGAGAGCCACTTTAGTTCACCACTTGTCTAGGGGCCGACAACATGGATGGTAAAACTGTTTCTACCGGCTGCTCAGGGCTTGAAGATGAGGTATTATTATGTCCTTGGTAATTCGCAAGGTATTGGTATTATTGCCATTTACGGAATCTTTTTTGACACAATCAAAAACAAATGTCACGGTATACAAATAAATGTCCAGATTCAAGAGGTTCTGAGCTTCACGATGTATAGCATGTGCATATTGGTGGTGCTGAAGTTGGGCTGAATGAAACTGTGAAAGTACCTCAAAGTACCTAGTTTGTGTTAGCAAGGCAGAGGGCGGCATGAAATGACACACCAGGCCGCATTTGGCCCGCTGGCCTTAGTTTGGACATGCCAGACATGGAGGATATGCAGTTGTTTTTTATTTTTACTTTTTGCTGTTTATATAAGCTAATGTATGAGCGAAAGATGATGCAGGAGGGTCTAAAGACAGGGCGACAGTAGCTCAGTTGGTAGAAAATTGGCCTTTGAGCCAGAAGGTTGTGGGTTCGAGCCCACCACAAGACTTTCACCATCGACTCCCACTGTCTGCTGTTGTTGTGTCCTTGGCAAGACACTTAACCTCTGGGAACACCAGCCACAATGGGGCGGCTGTAAAGTGCCAAACTGCCGTTGTGTCCTTAGGCAAGACACTTCACCCCCATTGCCTAGAATGAGTCTGGTGTGTGTGAATGGTTGGTGGTGGTGGTGGGAGGGGCCGATGGCAACCATACTGGTTGCCTCGCTTCTGTCAGTGTGCCCCAGGGCAACTGTGGCTACAGTAGTAGTTTATCACCACTGTGTTTGGAGTGAATGAATAATAATTTTGTGTGTCCAAAAAGCGCTATATAAAACCGTTTCATTATTAAAGACAGAGGTAATTATCCAGTACACTCTGCATTCAATGACATTTATGGACATTGGGCATCTGTCTCTTATGAACAAATGTTTTTATCATTGCATTTCCCGTGTTTGAACAGTTTGATTCTCTGATCCGTGTTGTCAAGTCCTCTGAGGCTACACTGTGCTTTAGGGCTATACAAAAAATACATTGGATTGAATAGACTCAACTTTTTGTCACTGCAATGATGTGGTTTGATTGTAAGAAAGCTGGGGGATTCAGATTCTTCAGATCTCAAAGTTATCACACACCGGTCTGGACTTGAGTGGAGACAGTGGAAGAGGGTGTCAGTTCTGCAGTCATGTCAGATACAGCTACAGGAGCAGGTCATAAGAGAAGGCTATAGCACCATCACTGTCCTCTTTTAAATCACTTCTTAAAACCCACTTCCTCCTGTCTGCTTTGTCCTGCGTACAGCTAATTATTTTGACTTTGTATTAGTATGTCTATTCTTATTGTAAACACTGTTTTTTGTGCTACACTCAGAAAGATGTATTATTGCCACCATAATTATTACAACACAAACAACACATGGCGCACACCTGTACCACAAACCCCAACCAGAGCGCTACAACACAACACAACACAGCACATTACAGCACCTTACAGCAGCAGCACTTCGGGATGCAGCACTTTACTTTATCGACGGGATGCACGCGACTCATCTGCCCGACGCAAATTGGGGATAGTACGTCACCCAAATGCATGCAGACGCGCGCACGAGCAAAGAACCGAGACCATCTAGACTAGAGCCACGTTCGTTTGGAGAATTTTAGGTTTTTTTGCGTCGGCTCCAGCTCTGAATCCTGTTTTTTATTCCTCTCCCCCATCTCTCTCCACTTCCCCAGCACCACGGACACCTGCGGGAGAATGCGCAGTCGTCTTGCTCTTCAGCGTGTGTCAGTCTGTCGCAACATGAAGGAACCATACTCACCTCTTTCGTGTCGACGATGCCTTTGACATATTTAGCGAGGACTAAATCCACACAGAAAACGCTGGACAGAGCTGCCAGGCACAGGAGTCTCACCCCGAGCCTCCCCTCCATCTTTCCCGGTCCCCCGCTGTCTGAGCCGCCTGCACTCTGCGAGAGGAGGCGAGGAGACTGGAGACTGGACACGGAGAGAGAGAGGAGAGAGAAGAGAGAGAGAGGGGAAAGAGAGAGAGGGAGGGCGCGTTCACGTCATGGTCCCCTTTAATGGATCGTGTGCCCGAGTTTGAGTCTTGATAGACATGCGCGTGCGAGCGGTTCCCGTCGTGCACGAGGATGCGACGCACAGTCTCAGTGTGAAAAAATGTTTTGTGTCATCAGGGGATCGGTTTCAGAGGTCACTGCACTCCTCTGTGTGTGTGAGCCAGTGTCGAATGTTGTTATGATATTACATTTCAAACTCGATTCTAGGGAGAAAATAACCGAGATATACCAATAGGCTGTGTTCATGTGACATCACAACATTCCAAAAAAGCCTATATACTGTACAGTTCCAATTCTCCTTCTTTAAAGACAAAAATAATGTCTAGAAGTAGTGACACTATTAAAAAATAACAACAGAAAGGACTGTTAGACAGAGTAATAAGGTGGATTTGTGAATATAATCGCTATATCAACTAATGAACTGGGAAAGAATTGTTATTTTCAACATTTCTTTCAATAATTGCTTCTATCTCAGACATTTTTTGGCTCCTGCTCTCCAACTGCCACAGAAATTATTCATAAATACTCATTTTGGACAAAGAACTCTCAAGAAAGGTCAAATGTCTTGTTTATATAATTGTATTTAGCATCTAGGCTTGCTCAAACTAAAAGCTAGCGTCTAATAGTTTTAGCATAAATGAATATCCGATTTCTGATTCTTCTGAAAACCCTGGATTGAGTGTGCACAGCCTTACAGCTCTCATCAGAAACAACCCAAATGGTAAAATGTAGAATGTTGATTGTGTCTTCTTTATGTTGAAGGCTTTGAAGGTTCCTTTAATGAGGCAAAGTATGTAAAGAAACTACCTCTTCATTACCACGATCTCCCAGACTGACCACACCCCAACCCTTCCTGCTGTGGTCTCTGAAGTGTGTCCTATGTGTGAGCCAGGTGAAGGCCCCCTCTTTTCTGTTTATCGTCCATGTGCGCCAGTTCCTGATTTCAATCCATTGGCGGGGGGCGTGGTCAGTGTGACAGACCGCATCAGGTAACAGCAGCTTAGGCCTGGACCCTCCTCACACATTCATAGTGTTTGTCTTTCTGTTTAGGGTAATTATCAGAGTTAATGGGAAGATCGATGGGGCAAAATACATCCATCCATCCATTTTCTTCCCCTTAATCCATTGCTGGGTTGGGGGGATGGCACCCAATATGTATTTTGGGGCAAAATACATATTATAAATTAATAGATGTGGTATTAAGCAGAACCATCTTCTTTTCGCTCGTCGTATTGGAACTCTCTAAGCTTTACACGTTTATGGGAACACACCACACCTCCTAAGCCCCGATATCCTTAGCCCAATGTCCTTTCACGTATCAAGTAAATTATAGTCAAATGTATGTAGAATATATTTATTTAGAAACCAAAAAACATCAGCATTTATGGAAACTTCTACTTATGAAACCTGATGAAATGTCATTATCAGGTACATTCTTTTCAAACAGGTTTGCACTTGTGGTGTGTAATAAAGTTCTTTAACACAGCTGGTTCCTGGCTATGGCTTTACAGGCACGTCTCAAAAGATGGGAATACTATGAAAAAGTTCTGTTTCAAACTCTGAATGACCTTTTTCTCAACAGTCTAATATTCTTTGAGATGTACTTGTATACAACTATATATATTTTTTTTTATACAGTGCATTTCCAGTCCAGCGATCACAGTGGTAAGGAGGTTTGACATTGACATGCACCTCCACAAAGCAACACTAGCAGGTGAATAAGGTGCATTGGCTGCTGCGCTGATTTGAAATCCTTTGGTGGAATAACACACAAATGTACACACTTGAAAACACCTATTGCCAACCCGTTATTGAGGTAATTTCTCATTTTGCACGAGCAGATTCCAGCAGGCGGCGTAACATTAACATTGACTGCTGCTTCTATACTTTTTATGTCATGATTTGGGCACACATTTGGATAAAGTCTTTTGCCTACCACAGACTAAAAGCCACAAACCACAAGAGGCCACTGACCACTAATGAAAAGCTGCCTGTTTGTTAAGTGCCACTACTGCTGTAAAAAGATACACAAACAATAGCACAGGCCAAAAGGTGTGTGGCCGTCTCGATTCAGTGCAAGCCCAGTGACTCTGAACCGCATGCCCCACACAAACATAATGTGAACAGTAACAAATACGCTCCAAATATTCTGCAAGAGCCGCTAAACTACAGCAAGAGTCCACCTACAGCAGGTGGAATGGCTGTTTGGTCTAGCTTCTTGAAAAGAGTTATATTCATGTTATTTCGCTCCAGCCCTGATTCTCGTTGACTAAAAATATTGCCTTAAGTACTAGGAGCTGACAGAAACGAGCACGGTCTAATCGCGTAGCATGACTTTTCTGCAGAAAATCCGGCACTTCACCCACAGCCAGGGTTTCTACATGCGGAGAATCAGCCAAGTCCTATTCATACACAACATCTTTCTCCACAGAGCCGGCAACCCATTACCAGGCAAGGGCACAACAATAGCAACACTCTCAGCAGCTATATTTAGGACCTGGTAGAGGTATGTGACCCCACAAAGGGACATTTATACATACATCAGACATGGATAAACTATGGAAAGTTGAAAATATAGATGATTGAAACATTTTAAATACTGCTTTGTCCTATGAAAACAAATCTTTGAATGTCTTTTACCAACAGTACAAATAAGGTAGTGTGTGTATGGAACAGCCTTATACAAGGTTTCATTGCTATACAAAAGTCAGATAAAGACAAAAAAGTACAATGTGTAAAACAGCATATGATTACATACAATAATTAAAGTGATGAACAAGTCAAAGTAAAAGAACAATGACTGTGCAATATACAGCAATAAAAAGTGATAAAAATCATATAAACACTACCGCATAGGATAAAATATTGAAAATTACAATCTGAAGAAAATTAAGAAGTAAATATAGCTTGAACAAGTTTGTCTGTATAGTTTCAAATGTGCAATTCCTTTTTGGGACTAGAAACTGATTCGACAGAAGGAACTGCCAAAGTGGCCGAACGGAAACCACAAAGTGAAGTTGGTTGTGATTTAGAGCGTCTTCACAGACAAGTGGCCATTTTATTGGAGATGCCTCTGTATAGAAGCATATTGTGCACCCACGTGATGTGGCCAAGAAGAATCAGTCTCTACATACAGCATCTAAGTCTTCCAGCTCCTACTAGGACAGTATGGTCCAACAAGTGCAGCTCAGAGAAGCACCATGTGCCAGTCTCAGTTTACACACATGAACATTTCACTTTCTAGTTAAAGTTGGTCCTGCACCAGATTGTCTTTTTAGCAAAACTTTTGTAAGTTCCATATTTTCATAAACCTTGGTCTCCTAGTTTATCCAAACTAGGCTCCAATCCCACCATCCTCAGTGTTGTTCTGGGTTGCCACAGCAACCAAGTCCTCTGAATCAGACATTTTCCCTCCTTTCCCCATGGCCTCCCCCGCTTCATTAATACAGTTTACAAACAGTGCATTGGACTCCCCAGAGGAGGTAGAGAAACCCCTATCGGTCCGCTCTAGCTTGCGGTGCTTGCGTGGCTCTGGGGGTGTGTCTTGTGTGAAGACTGCGCGGATTCGCTCAGCACAGACACTGGCAGCCTCTCGAGTCTCCTTGGAGAGCTGCGAGAGGCTGAGGAAACCATGCGGCAGGTCATCCACCACACACAGCGTGACAGGCTGCTGAATGTTCTTCAGGCGCTTGGCGAACATCACAGAGTCGTCCAGCATTGGGTCCAGAGCACAGGCCTGAGGGAGAAGGAGAGGGACAGTGATAAACACATTCATAGTGCTTTAAACATATAAACATTTAAAAAGGTATGATTTTGCTTAAATGAATTTCCCATTGGAACGTGGACATTGCAACTTTCTCCCGTTACCCGTCCATTGCCCGCGAATGTGTCTGGACACAATACAGATCCAGTGAAGTGAAAACAGGGACATTATTCATACATTCATACAACACTTTGTGGAGCCCCTTTTGCTACAATTACAGCAGCAAGTCTGTTCACAGATTTGATGCTTATGTTTATGGAAATTATCAAAGTTGATGTGGCAAAACACATATCATAAGTTAATTTAAGCATACTGGTAATTTAATATAAAAGGTGATAAATACTGAATATGTCCATCATTTCATTAAATTGTGAGTTTATCCATATTGTAAAGTCATGATAATCAAGTATTATGTATTGTAAGATGTGTTAGACCAGGGGTGCACATAAGTGGTACGCAGGCATGCATGTGTGACAAATATCAGAAATGCAAAATAAATAAATACATATTGCGTTACTGCAAGAAACAAAGCTGGACTGTGGAGCCTTAAGGGAGTGTCCATGTCCTCCCTGTGTCTCTACATTATCTAAACTTTAGCATAAAAAAAAGCAAGTATAAAATCTCGAATTATGAACCACGCGACAAATGGAGTGAGTACCGAATACCATCTCCAGGTACTCATCTGAGTACCTGAATGAAAAAGTTATGTGCGCCCATGATTATAACATATGTTACTACAGTCCATTAAAGGAGTACTCACGACTATGTGAACGGGAGGCAGTCCTTTGAGCATGTGATCTGGTGCTAGCAGAGGAGAGCAGAAGGGATCTTTGACCACAGGAGAGCTGTCGAGCCTCATCTCTGCCAGCTGCTCTGAACGCAGAGGCTCAAAGCCCAGAGGAAACTCCCGTGAGTGCTCTGACTCAGAGCCCTCCTCACCAGCAGGTGGTGGTATAGCCACAGAGGAGAGGTCAGCGGCCATCAAATGATCTTCCTCTTTCGAAAGGTAAAAACTAACGTCTACAATCTGAAAAAAATAAACAGGGGAAAATAGAATTGTCTGTCAGTGTTTAAGGACAGGGAGGGCAACAAACATATTAGCACACTGCTTACAGGCTCATCCGAAACACTCAATGCACTTTCGGAAACACAACCGTTGTGGGACCCCAGGTTTTGGCACGTCTGGCTCTTCACTGATAACTTCCTGGTTGAGAATTCTGAGTTCTCGGAGGGCACCGGAGGGTCAGCATGAGGAGACGAGATCACTGCCTCAGAGATGCTCTTCCTCACAGAGTCTAGAAGACAGAAGATTGTCAGGGCAGTTCATTAGGTTCATTAACACATTGTGTTTCAGTCTGCTAGACAGTTATAATCTCTGACAATAGTGGACAGCATTTTTGTCTATAGAACTTTCTACTTTTGTCTGATCAGTCGGAACATTATAATTTTCTTGTCTTTATAGGTATTTTTTTTATAATTGCAAATAAGTTCCTGTTATAAAGCTCCATGAGAGCGATATGCAATTTCTTCCACAGCATCCGGGCGCTGTGATTGTCTGTTAATAATGTACATCCACCATTATCTTTAGTTATGACTTGAAGCTGCAGGACACCAGGGAAATCACTGTGCTGCAGATTTACCATGAATACAATGAAACATTAAGGCCAGGCGGGCTGTGCTTCTCCAGAGATGTACTGTGATATCGATAGGGTGTGAGGAGGGTGTGAGGAGGGTGTGAGGAGGGTGATATTCAACAGGAGGAAGGCAGCAATAATGTGTTAACTAAATGTCAAGTAAAGAAACCAAGTTATAGATACTCATGATTTGCAGGGGAAGGAGCACATGTAAAGCAGCTCTATCTTCAACACCTTTTGCTGTTTGCACTAAATCCATTATTTAATGAGGTCTTCTGAACTTTCTTGAGGTCGTTTATATTGTTAGTTTTCATTTAATTATGAATGTGTGAAGCAGTGGAAATCTGCTTTTTACATGTATTTTTAAATACTTTATTGGAGTAACAGGGCCGGAATAATGTATCCGGGGGATTAATAAAGGGTTCATACTCAAATATTCACACAGCCTTACACAATCCTGAAATTATTACAAAGACATAATTTCACCATTCTATTTGAGTGTGAGTGAGTGAGAACACAACAACATGACGTGTGTGAGTCTGAGCTGTACCAGAGAATGCTGGCTGAGCAGATGCAGGGGCCTCGGCAGACGCAGGGGCCTCGGCAGACGCAGGGGCCTCGGCAGACGCAGGGGAGTCAATGGAGGCTTTGTTTGAATCCAGCAGAGAGTGGATCCAGTTGGATGCTCCCTGTCGGAAGTCTCTGAGCATCAGTGCAGTGTCTCTCCTCACTATGCTCAGAGTGCTGGCTTTCTCCACTTGCTTCTCGGCTTGTGGCTCATTTCCTGTATAAATAAAACAACAAACTATAGTGATTTACGTTATTTTTTTAAGACAGAAATTGTGTGAAAATAATAGCATTATGTCACATTTGGTTTAAATGACAGGCTTTCACTTTCACTGTGTTTCGTAATGAGCAATAACTGCTTATTACAAAACTGCTTTTAAACTCTTCACAGTGAAGTCCCAGATGTGCACAATCAATTGGAGATAATAGTGTCTTGAAAGTATCAAACATACAGCAGCTGGTATTTGGGGGTAGCATCTTTCCTTCTGATAAGAATGCAGATACCTGCATAGGCGCTGAGGCACCTGGAGAGGACACTGAGAGGCAGCAGGGGATCCATAAGTGAGAGCAGACGGGAGGGTGATGCGTAGGCCGTCAGCAGGGTCGCTGGGTAGGCTGCTACGATGCCATCTGGCATCCGCACACCAAATGCAGCCGCTCGCATCGATACTGTCACACACAAGTTCCCTCCAGCGCTGTCTCCAACCAGACACACTTTCTCTCCAGTCCACCCTGAGAATATGGATATAGTGGTTTGTTTCATATTCATCGGTGCCAAAGCTCCAATCATGTGTTGAAATACCCAGTAAATGGTGGTTTCGTAGAGCCCAGCAGTATGCATAGAAACACTCCTCCAAGGCCCGTGGGAAAGGAGCCTCAGGGGCCAGAGAATAATCCACAGAGAGGATGGGCACACCCAGGTCCTGGGACCAGCTCTTCAGATAGGGCTGTAAAACATGCAAATACTATTTTAACAGGGAAACATCTGTTTTACAATGAACACAGGTGGAAGTGTTATTTGAAAGATTGAAAAACAATTTATACACAACTTATGAAGCTGTTACACTATTTAAGAAGAGCTGTGGGATTAGACAGTCAGCAGCACTGGTTTAAAGGCTTGGCCTTCATTTATTGAAGATAAATAGACAACAAATAAATGTGCAGGACTTCAGTCTTTTGGGAGACGCTGTTTCATTATGCATTATGTCTAACGGTCTGGTACAAAACTCCACAACAATTTAAGATCCAGACAATTTCCCAAAAAACGAGTTACATAATACTAATATGGGACAAAAATTGGTGCCACGGAATCTTGTGAGATTCACATGATTGTCACAAGATTATGTGCACAATAAAGGAATGCACAACAGGATGAATTGGTGCAGTCCTCCTAAAAGAGACCAGTGAACGATGGGACCACCTTAAAGAGATTGTCTGGAGTTTGTCAGAAAAAATAGGTACAGGATTTGAAAAAAAATAAATAAATAAAATAAATTGACCAAAGCTCCCTCCCCCTTCCTTTCTTGTGTGTGATTAACATTTAAATGTTAATCACACACAAGAACACATTATACTTATACATTATTAATATACATGTAAGGAGGTTTTCAGAATTATTGTTAACGTTTTCATGACAAAAATAATGTTTTAATGCACAAAAAAAGCGATCACGGTAAACCCGGAAGTAGCTATTAACGTTGGTTGAACATTATAGGACAATGATTATGGATATAGGTTCAGTATATAAATGATTATGGATATACAGTGCCTTGCGAAAGTATTCGGCCCCCTTGAACCTTTCAACATTTCGCCACATTTCAAGCTTCAAACACAAAGATATAAAATTTTAATTTTTGGTCATGAATAAACAACAAGTGGGACACAATCGTGAAGTGGAACGAAATTTATTGGATCATTTAAACCTTTTTAACAAATAAAAAGAAAAGTGGGGTGTGCAATATTATTCGGCCCCTTTACTTTCAGTGCAGCAAACTCACTCCAGAAGTTCAGTGAGGATCTTTGAATGATCCAATGTTGTCCTAAATGACTGATGATGATAAATAGAATGCACCTGTGTGTAATCAAGTCTCCGTATAAATGCACCTGCTCTTTGATAGTCTCAGGGTTCTGTTTAAAGCACAGAGAGAACCATGAAGACAAAGGAACACACCAGGCAGGTCCGAGATACTGTTGTGGAGATGTTTAAAGCCGGATTTGGATACAAAAAGATTTCCCAAGCTTTAAACATCTCAAGGAGCACTGTGCAAGCAATTATATTGAAATTAGGGATGTAAAAAACTATGAATTTTCATGACCGACCACCGAGCCTCATTAACCGGTTGAAACCGGTTAACCGCGTAGTTTAAAATAGTCCACGTTCTTTGAAATAACAGCCATTTCGAGCCGCGTACTTTTCATAAGTGCAGCTCTGCGTTCTACTGGATCAGAGTTGAGACAGCGGCGCCAAAACCCGCAACAGCTCCGGCACCTTTGCGCACAGAGAACTGCTTTTTTAATCTTCCCATTCTGCTGTGCTGCGGGTTAATACCAAAACTTTCTAGCAGCAAACGACGGCTCGTTCACATGGTCAGAGCAGCGAGTGACGAGCCGCGTCTCACAGGTCTTCACAAAAGTTTAAATACAAGTGATGTGTGTGGAGCTGATCCCAAGGACCATAAACACAAACATGTTCCATGTGGTTGGACTGGAGCCGCGTATTTGCGCGAATCCTTTGGGCTCCGTGACACAGAGGAGCGCGACAGACCGGTATTTGTGTGTGTATGTGTGTGTGTATGTATGTGTGTATGTATGTGTGTATGTATATGTGTGTGTGTGTAAATGTAAGCTCCAATGTAGTTCTGACCCGCGCCAGTGTGCAACTTTGACGGTAACAGAGGGGAGAGATGATGCGTGTGGATGTTACGTATGGAGAGGGGGAAAGTGTGTGTATGTGTGTGTGTGTGCGCGTGCGCGTGTGTGCATATGTGGATCGTGCGGCGTGAGAGTCGTCCCGGAGTTTATAATACATGGGCGCACACAGCTAGATACAGACCCGCTCGTCACACCGTGCAAATAGGGCTTAAAATAGCGTTATTAAGAGACCTCCCCTCTCCCCTTTTTCTCTTTTTTTAACCGACAGCATTGACCGGTTAACGCTGTGACGGTCAACCACCGGTTAAACGGTCGCCGATTTACATCCCTAATTGAAATGGAAGGAGTATCAGACCACTGCAAATCTACCAAGACCCGGCCGTCCCTCCAAACTTTCATCTCAAACAAGGAGAAGACTGATCAGAGATGCAGCCAAGAGGCCCATGATCACTCTGGATGAACTGCAGATAACTACAGCTGAGGTGGGAGAGTCTGTCCATGGGACAACAATCAGTCGTGCACTGCACAAATCTGGCCTTTATGGAAGAGTGGCAAGAAGAAAGCCATTTCTCAAAGATATCCATAAAAAGTCTTGTTTAAAGTTTGCCACAAGCCACCTGGGAGACATACCAAACATGTGGGAGAAGGTGCTCTGGTCAGATGAAACCAAAATCGAACTTTTTGGCCACAATGCAAAACGATATGTTTGGCGTAAAAGCAACACAGCTCATCACCCTGAACACACCATCCCCACTGTCAAACATGGTGGTGGCAGCATCATGGTTTGGGCCTGCTTTTCTTCAGCAGGGACAGGGAAGATGGCTAAAATTGATGGGAAGATGGATGGAGCCAAATACAGGACCATTCTGGAAGAAAACCTGTTGGAGTCTGCAAAAGACCTGAGACTGGGATGGAGATTTATCTTCCAACAGGACAATGATCCAAAACATAAAGCCAAATCTACAATGGAATGGTTCACAAATAGACGTATCCAGGTGTTAAAATGGCAAAGTCAAAGTCCAGACCTGAATCCAATCGAGAATCTGTGGAAAGAGCTGAAGACTGCTGTTCACAAACGCTCTCCATCCAACCTCACTGAGCTCGAGCTGTTTTGCAAGGAAGAATGGGCAAGAATTCCAGTCTCTCGATGTGCAAAACTGATAGACATACCCCAAGCGACTTGCAGCTGTAATTGCAGCAATTATCCAATAAATTTCGTTTCACTTCACGATTGTGTCCCACTTGTTGTTGATTCTTGACAAAAAATTAAATTTTTATATCTTTATGTTTGAAGCCTGAAATGTGGCGAAATGTTGAAAGGTTCAAGGGGGACGAATACTTTCGCAAGGCACTGTAGGTTCAGTATGTAAATGATTATGGATATAGGTTCAGTATAAATGATTATGGATATAGGTTCAGTATATAAATGATTATGGATATAGGTTCAGTATATAAATGATTATGGATATAGGTTCAGTATATAAATGATTATGGATATAGGTTCAGTATATAAATGATTATGGACATAGGTTCAGTATATAAATGATTATGGACATAGGTTCAGTATATAAATGATTATGGACATAGGTTCAGTATATAAATGATTATGGACATAGGTTCAGTATATAAATGATTATGGACATAGGTTCAGTATATAAATGATTATGGACATAGGTTCAGTATATAAATGATTATGGATATAGGCTCAGTATATACATGATTATGGACATAGGTTCAGTATATACATGATTATGGACATAGGTTCAGTATATACATGATTATGGACATAGGTTCAGTATATAAATGGGTAACTCAGCGCAGAGGTTCAGTATATAAATGGGTAACTCAGCGCAGATGTTCAGAATTCTTTGTTCAGTTTTCATGTAGTTCCAGAGCCTAATGGAGACTTGATTTGGAGGCTTCGCGATAACCAACAACTGAGCATGATCAGCTACAAGCATGAGTGCCGATGATTGGCAGCCCTTGGCATCACTTGATTGGATAACGTGGACGGCATCGTGGATTTCTAGCTATAGCTAGGAGAAGAGAAGGCAGGACTTTAACTGTAATAATAGAATTCATAAAATGACTTAATTTCATATAAATATTTAAGGCCAGGTCAATTTAATACAATTCTTAAAATTTGTAATTCACTTTAAAGCTTGTTGGGGACTGAAAGTGTTTTTAAGACTATACTTTTAAACTAAGGTAATATTTACCTTGGTATAAAAGTAAAAGAAGAGTATTTTGCATGTATCCATTTTTGTTATCAATTTCAACAAACAGACACACAACCCCACGCAAACAGGTTCAGGACAACTATGAACACCAAGTATTAAGATACTCTGAACACAAATAACTGTTTGTCTTTTGGATGTTTAAAGACAAACAGCAGGCGTCACCAGAGGGAGCAGGCTTCACACCTGTACCTGTGGGTGACACCTGTACCTGTGACTCCATCTTCCCACTCGGCCAACAATGTTTATACCATGAGCCTGATTCAAACTGCCAACATGTGTTCTATCAACTGAGCTACTACCTTAAACTCTAACCCGGTTTGTATTTTGTAAATATAGGACCAATATTGGCAGAGAAATGTTGTGTAAAAAAAATCAAATTTGTGGAACAGTGCGGAGAATGCAGTGGATTTCTTACTCAAATGCAGTTGCCAATATGTTCAATAGATATATTTACAGTCCAGAAGGAGAAAAGCTCTGAAGGCTCAATGCAGCAGCACAGACTGCAGCAGAGAAATGTAGGAGAGATGCTTTTGTCAAATCATCTAAATCACATGAAAACCCACACGAAAACCCACACAGCGACCTGGCTCCCTACATTTTACTTTTCTTTCCTTGTTGATGCAGAAGGGTCTAAGGCAGGCATGTCCAAACTCAGGCCCGCGGGCCAATTTTGGCCCTTTGTGTTAGCAGCAGAGGGCCACATAAAATGGTAGTGTCGCCATTGAGGCATTTTGACAGTGTCGTCAAACCAACTTTTGCTCCACCAATACTTTGTTGTAAATCTCAGACCCTCTGGAATCCAATCAGTATATACCGTTTTATGATTGTGTCACAACATTCCAAATAAAATGCAGCTGGGGTGTGAATCAATAAGGACATATCATAACCCATTTTAAATTCCAGAATCCAGTCAATCCAGCTCAAATCCAGTTTTTAAACCCAGGTTGTCGGCCTCAGGTCAAGTCTGATGAACTAAAGTGGTCCTCTTACTAAAAAGTTTGGACACCCTTAAGGACAGTGATGATCCAAGGTATTTAAGGACATTATGGACACCATTTATGGACAGTGGCAATTCTGTTACCTATAGACAAAAGTAAAGGAAGGTTTCTCGCCCATCATCTGTACTTCTTAGCAAGTTTTCCCGACGTTTCGTCCTCAATCCAAAGGACTTCTTCAGGGAATGAATTCTCAGACCGCGCGTTGGAGATTTATAACCTATGGTTGTGGTTAGCCACACCCTAATCCTGATACTAACTCATAAACAATCTTAAGGTGTGTTTGGTGTAGAAGGGAGCAGGTCTAACGACCCTGCTGAGGCTAACGACCCTAACTCCTTAGCATGTCACAGACCTATTGTCTGCTGGGATGCTCAAGTGGAGTGCAGGTCTCACCCCTCCTAACTCATTAGCATGTCACTGACCATGTCCCAAGTTAGGGCGTTGTTTTTAGGATGTCGTCATAGATGCGAGACAAAACAAATCTTAACCCTCCTCCTCTGTTAAGAGAAGGTTTTTGTTTCTTCACAAAAATGGCTTCTTTCACCCCTCTCTCAAACCAATTCTTCTCCCGAGCCAGAATTTTAACATCTGTGTCATCCATCGTGTGGTTGGAGGCCTTGAGGTGGAGATGAACAGCCGACTGTGGCCCACTAGAGTTTTCTCTACGATGTTGGTAAAGTTGTTTCTGTAGAGTTTGTTTAGTTTCTCCAATATAGTGGTCCGTGCACTCCTCTTGACTACATTTAATTCAATACACCACATTGCTCTGTTTGTGTCTGGGTGTTTTGTCTTTGGGATGCACTAATTTCTGTCTTAACGTGTTGAAAGATTTAAAATACACAGGGATTTTGTGTTGCCTAAAGATTCTTTGTAGTTTCTCTGAAACTCCCGCCACATACGGTAAGGACACCCCTCTCCTCCTACTTTCTTCTGTCTGTTGGACTGTGTCTCTGGCCTTTCTCGTCCTTTGGGCTTTAGTAAAAGACCACTTGGGGTAGCCACATCTGGAGAGTGCTCTCTGAACATGTTTTGTTTCTCTGTTCTTTCCTTCCGAGCTTGTGGGGACCTGGTGGGCTCGGTGTTGAAGCGTTCTAATGACCCCGAGTTTGTGTTGTAGCGGATGATTTGAATCAAAGGCCAGGTACTGGTCAGTGTGAGTGGACTTTCTGAAGACCTCAGTCTCTAATTGTCCGTTCTCCAGTATGATGACCTTACAATCTAGAAAGGCGAGTTCACTCTCCTTAGCATCCTCGCGAGTGAAATTTATAAAAGGGTCCACCGAATTAATGTGTTCTGAAAATGGTTCCACTTCCTGTTTCTTTAACTTAACCCATGTATCGTCTACATATCGAAACCAATGGCTTGGCGCTGTCCCTTCCTTTGCTTTGACTAATCCCTGTACGACTGAGGGCTTACACAAACTTATAGACAAAAGTGTTTGTTATTATTGTATTTCCTGTATTGTAACTGATTACTTCCCTGATCTGTAGTTGAGGAATCGACAACTTTGTCAAGTTCTCCGAGATGACTGCATATGTGTTTTAGGGATGCACAAAAATTGAATTCTTGTCCTGTACCTCTTATGAAGTTTCAAGAATATTTAGTTTGTTTTGCATAACATTTCTGAAAATAGGCTAAACAAGTTGAAATTGACTCTAACCTGTATATCATTTTAACAAACAGAAGAGTTAGTTTTACAATTCAGAAATGGTCTCGATCACGGAAATCGATTATTTACAATGACTTTCTAAATATATCAAATGACGATGCATCGTTTCTGACTTAAACTTATAAACCTAAAAATATGCTAAATATTCAACTCCCCTTTTCACACAAGAAACAGCTATATCCCTCAACATGAAGCAGATAACAAGGAAATCTATTCAAACTACCAGTCGAACTAAAGTCGAGATTGATGCACATGTGCTGTTTGTCAAGTAAGTACATAGTTTATCATAATTACTTCATGTGACCTGAATCTATCCAGGAAAGTGTGATTAGCAGCTTCTTATAGAAACGTTAGAGGCTCTAGCTGGAGGTACTCACTCAGGACAAGCAAAAAAGGTTAAGATGAGGTGGAGAAGAGGATGTAATCAAAGTCAAAGGAAAAAGATAGTTGGAAATGTCTTCCATTAGTGCTGGGCGTAATCCCGCTCCGAGGTTGTACAGTTGTACCTTAATTCAACATGACAGCCCTGCTTTCCCCTTCTGTGACTGCTCTCATCCTCTGGTTGCTATGCAGCTGCAGATCAAAGATGCCCATGTCCAAGGCAATTTCACACTGTCTTGTCTGGCTTTACTCATAAAGGACCCAGTGCCACAACAACTGCACACAGCTAATGACAGAGTCACAGTGCACAGAGACAGAAATAGAACTTTGAATGAGGGTGTCTTCAGCTTCAAGTTTGTTCTTCAGTCTTTTTTGTTATTTAAAATATTCTGAGGGTAAATTATGGATGTAATATAACAAACTAATTCTTACCTCGTGAGACTTTGATGTCTGAGCGACAAAACCTCCACCATGAAAATGTATCAGGAGACACGGAGACGAGGGCAGTCTCTTGGTCTTCAAGCCGAGTGACAGTGAGAGCGCGCCGCCTTCAGAGCGGGACAAAGACAGCAACGTCTCACTGTCCTGAAAATATTACAGAAGATATTTTGGTTAAAGACAAGTACATTAAAACGGGTTGTTCCTCATGTCATCTGTCCTGTCGTGACCCCCTGTCTCACCTTCAGAAATCGACACCACACTGGTGCCATTTTGACGACGAGAGAAGGAATAACAACTTTTCCCACTTCAAATGACAGTAAGAGTGCATCAAAGGAACTGGCTTTGGAAGAGTATTCTATGTCCTCTCCCCAGTGGATGTTTGCAAATTGTTATACTCTATAGGAGGATCTTTGAGTGACGTTGTTTATACCAGTGTTTTTCAACCTTTTTTGAGCCAAGGCACACTTTTTTCACTGAAAAAATCTTGCGGCACACCTCCAGGAGAAAATGTAAAAATGTATATAGTACTAATGTAAAAAAATATATACTGTACATACTCTGTGTGATATATAAAGTATATCTTATCTTATAATGTATACAGTATACTCTGTAGCCTATATTCACAATATACAGTTATTCTCATCAAAATGCTTAAGTCCAGGCCTTGAAATTAAGCTTTATTTAATATTTCTCGATACAATTAACAAGAGTTTGGGAATAAAGTGGCACTAACTGTGTGGAAAAAAACTAAGAAAATCCACTCTCTGCCCAAATAGTCAAATAATAACTCACACAAAGAACATGCATTGTTAGTGCATGGGAAACATTTTGGTATCCGAGCTTTAAATTCAGGAGTTTTGGATGAGGGACACGGGAGGTCCTGAACGCGAGTCCATGGTTCTGTCCGGTCCGCATGTCTGTGGTTCTGTCCACTCGACTACGGTCTGCGCTCGGTACCCAGTTCAGAAGTGCGTTCGCGAGAGCTGTTGTACAAAAATCGTACATTTCATAGTTAAACCACTACAACGCGGCCACAGCTGCCCCGGGGCAGAGCGGAGGATGTTAATCCTGTTCAGAAACGGCATAATTCATTTTCAAAAACGTCTCTATCACTTTCACTTCTCACTCGCCACAAAGCTCTTGTCTCGCTCCCTCACACATTTGTTGGTCGCATCCAATTTTACCTTTCTCGCCACAATGCTGACCTGTTACAGCCAGTGGTCGCATCCAATTTTTCAGTTTCAAAGTACTTAGCTATCTGCTGCCATCTACTGATTTGAAAAAGTATTACATGGTTACTCACAGTTCAAAACAAGTCACCGCTCGTCAACAGCGAATGCAGCTATTTTTAGACAAAGTAGACGAATTTCTCACGGCACACCAGACAATATCATACGGCACACTAGTGTGCCGCGGCACAGTGGTTGAAAAACACTGGTTTATACAGTGCCTTGCAAAAGTATTCGGCCCCTTTGAACCTTTCAACATTTCACCACATTTCAGGCTTCAAACATAAAGATATAAAAAAAATATTTTTTGTCAAGAATCAACAAGTGGGACACAATCTTGAAGTGGAACAAAATTTATTGGATAATTTAAACTTTTTTAACAAATAAAAAACTGAAAAGTGGGGCGTGCAATATTATTCGGCCCCCGAATAACTACAGAGTTAGATAGTTTCTAGACGTTTGGAGAGAGGTTTTACTAAATCAAATGGTCCACTCTTGTGTGGTCACTCCGAGCCAGATTACGTTTTTTTTTTGTAAAATAACAGCAAAAAATGTAAGAAATGGTTGCGGTTGATCAGAATAATTGCTCAAAAGATCAACAGAAAAAGTAGGTGCAACCAGACTATGTTCCTCATATCAAAATGGGCTATGGATCTGAAAAGTTAAAAGCAAAATCGGTTCCAACAATACAAACGGAGGAACAAAAGGCAAAATGAGTTGGAGACGTCTTCAACTTCTGCTATGCGTCCGGGTCCCCACATGAACAAAATCATGGATTATGAAGTTGATCAACTATCTCCTATACCTCTATCTCCTATATCCTATCCTATATACAAAAACTGTCCAGTAAAGTGTTCAAGTATTTTAGAAAAAAAGCTTAATTGTGTTCCATGAGTACAATATACACAATAACTAAAACATAACTAAAAAAGCTTCAAAATGATACCAACGTACCTGTCCTTCACGCAGGTCGTATGAAAGGAGCCTCATCTGAACTGGGGATGAGCCGATGTGTGCAGACGGAGGAGCGATGGTTACTGAAACTCTGTGATTGGTCGCCAGGGGTAGGTCAAAGGGGATAGGGGGCACGGAGAGGGCACGGTTCACCTTGACAGTTGTGGATGTCATACTGGCCAGACTCTGCACGGTGGCAGCAAAGAGCAGAACATCAGACAGAAAGACAAGTTAAGAGATCGAGTTAAGAAGAGACAACATCACACATTACAACTATCTGACAACGCTTTGTGTTATTTATTATTTTACATCCCGCCTTACACTTGATTTAACATCACACGATGTGGCAATATTATTGGAAGAATAATGCACTTGTACAAAATACATTTGTACTCACAGATAAGACCTCAGTCTCTGTTATGTTCCAGAAGGCCTTCCAAAAATGAACATCCAAGTTCTGGGTTATGCGCTCAAATTCTGCCCCTCTCAAATCGGGGTCGATTGCATACTTCCCAGAGGTAAAGAAGGAACTGGCTGCCACTCCTGTAGAAGCATAAAGGACAGGAGTGAGGAGCTTTTTTAAGAAGACTCGACAGGCCAATAACTGTTTTGTTTTTAACTGCTTGGGCACTGACACACACACACACATGCACACAGATGGTCCTGGCTTTATAGATCGATAATCTGTTTTATTAAAATGTAAATCAAACAATAAACTTTCTAGATTACAAATATCAACAAGACATTATCTTTTTTACAATAAGCAAGTCATCAACGCATGTAGTTTGCCATGCAGTGTCCATAAATGACAACAAGCATTTTTAAAGTATTGAAATGCTTTTTAAGCTACTACACATAATTATAGAGGAAAGGGATGTAATACAAAGGTTGTGTTTTGTATCAGAATTAAAGCATGTACTGTGGAGGAGGAAATGTAGGGAATTGATTCAGACAACACCAATCAGACAGGGAGTGTTTCAGTCACAGATGAAGGGTTTGTGCAACTCACCGTATGGTGCAATACCTCCTGACTCCACTATGATGCAGTGCAGAGCACAAAGAGCATGAGAGCATATTGATATAACATATTTATACTGGTCTGTGTAAGGCCGTTACTTTCTAATGCCAGGGCTTTAAACATAAAAAAAAAATCAAAACACTAGAATTTTTAAAACGTCTAGCCACCGATGTGTTTCTGAAGGATAAAAACATCTATGATGTCAAAAAGGGATCAAGTGAACTCAGAACTCAGGGGGTGAGGTGAGGGTGATCTATGCATGGACATGAGAAAAGCACACTGACCTATTCCAGACTGGTGCTTCTTGTAGTTTTCGCCAAATGATACAAGCCCAATAGCAAGGGTCTGTAGACATGGCCGAATGGCTGGGGTGAACTGAAAATAAAAGGTTAAAGTGTCATTTGTATATACTTCAATGTGAAGGCAAAACATAATGTACCACTGTTTGAATAATAATAATGGTCAAACCAAGAACTTTTCCACATGTTTGTGCTTGAAATACCCCCACAACATGGTAGATAAATATGAATGGAAAAAAAGTGGGGCTTGTATTTTCTTGAGTGCAACCAATTGCTTTTCAAAATTTCCTGATGACTGATGAATTGTGGGCGACAGTAGCTCAGTTGGTAGAGCATTGGCCTTTAGGCCTGAAGGTTGTGGGTTCAATTCCCACCTCGACACCTTCTCCACCGACTCCCACTGATGACTGCTGTCGTTGTGTCCTTGGGCAAGACACTTAACCCCGCTTTGCCCAAAGCCCCAACTGAAAGATCAAGGCTATGCTCACACTCAGAGAGCAGCCATCCTCCTGTGGACTCACCACCTGCAGAGGGTCAGTGAGGGGCTGGTGCTATGAGACTTGGGTGGCATCTCTGATTGTCACCCCCCTGACCCAGAAATGGATTAAAGGGTAGAAGATGGATGGATGGATGATGAATTGTCAAATGTCGACCTAACTAGAGTCCACCTGAGTGTAATCTAATCTCAGTACGATTACAGCTAATCTGTGATGGCCCCAGAGGTCATCAACCTGAAGTCCAAGGGGAGGTCAGGCAGGAGGTTGGGGAGAATTTTAAATTAGAATCAGATACTGTAACTGTATTTATCATTAATCCCCAAATGACAATTCAGTTTGCAGTCAAACTTGTCAGGGGGCCACAAGAAGAGTTAAACATCACATTTTAGACATGGAGGTCTGCCAAAACTAACAGTGCAAACTACAGAAATCACCTGGGTGTTTAAAAAATAAAAATAAAAAAAATAATAATAAGCATGTATCATTTTGCTTCCACTTTACATTTGTCTACTGATTTGTGGTGGTCATTGAAAAAAATAAAGAGAATATAAAACTGGATGTCTCAGGCAGCTGTATGCACATGTGAACTTATTTGAGGATCAGTTATAATTCTAATGAAAGATATAATCCCAATGACAGATCCGATCCCAGACTATAGAGGACCAAAAGAGATAATGATAATTTATAGACAATGGAGTAGAGGATGCCCAAAGAAACGAGAAGGAAGTTTAAAACACATTGTTTTCTCACCTGAAAGCCCAAACAGCGGCCGTAGAAGCAGCCTTTGTGCATTGATGCGTACTCTCGAACAAAGCTCTCACTAAGGCCACTTTCGTCGTGAAAGAAGAGGTTGCCATGGCTGTTGTCATGAAGCATGCGCTGGGCCAGGTACAGCAGGGCACGCAGCTGGCAGAGTGCGTTGCAATAGGCCTCCATCTCCCCAGCATTGTGTGCAGCTCGAAAGAAGATACTGCGCCTATTGACAGTAATGTAGCGCCCCTTGTGGATGATGTGCAGAAGGCAGCACCTCACTACCTTTGAAAAAAAAAAAAAAAAAATCCTTAATGACTTTGGGTTTCATAAGGATTTTAAATAAACCAGCTCTCAAATCTGAAGAGAAACAAGAGAAAGGTTAGAGTGTGAGCATGTGATGTGTGCTATTGCAATTGGATCGTCTCGTCTTCGCCAGTTCTGTCTTGAGAGGACTCCAAACTCTCAAGACAGAACTGGAGAGTTTTCAGTTCTGTTTTAATCTGCATGCAAACAGACCAAGACACTTTAGATGTGTCGAGGGCCGTTCACTGTGGAACTCTGTGAGCTGTCCCTTTTTTGAGTCTATTCTTGACCAAAAGGATACAAGTGACAATGCTTTAACTGAAGCACTGGTTTAACCGTGTGGGGGCTGTGGCCACTGCATGTCAAGACTTACTATATAATATGGTCATGAAACATTACATTACATTTGAATAATAGCTTTGGCTATCATGAAAAAATGTTTTGCTATACATGTGTGGATTACCTTGACAAGAGAGCGGTAACCGTTTGCAGGTATGTGTGGATCAAAGTCAAAATGATGATAGACAGAGGAAAAGCCAATAATGACAGGTTCCAGGCTGCGAGCGTGCTCCTGAATCAGCTTCATGACTTCTACAAGCCTCCGCGCTGCATCGCCCTGGGACCCCTTGGCCCCTCCAGAGAAGAAGGAGGCATTCTCCTCGCACACACTGTACAGGGCTGCGAACACTGCCTTAGTGTCCATGACTGAAAATGTGAAGAGAAAGGATTAGTTATAATAACTGATTCAAACTTTTCAATGATATGCTGAAGGTTGACATGTCAAAAGCCACGTACTAACCCTCAAAAAAAAATGTGCTTTAAAATTATTTGAAGAGCTTTATTGATGTCTATATTAGAGTTGGTGCCTTAACCCTGATAGGGGTCAGGGGCATTGATGATTGGATGCCATTTCAGTGAGGCCATTCTCTTGGGGCCTGTAGTGGATGAGGCTGAGAAGACTAGAAGGAGAGGATTAGAGAATGCTGAGGGAAAGAGGTGAGGTTTCATGAGGCAGATGAGGTGAGGCGTGAAGGGAGTGGCTGATACAGTGATAAAGGTGGGGATAAGCTCTGAAGCAGAGGAAGTAGCTAGGAGCGCTTTAGATCTTTGGTGCTGAATATCTTTGTTGATACACTCATGTTACACAAGTACTTGCAAAATCATTGTAAGATTCAAAGTCAATTTATCCACCACCAATTAACTAATCCCCCAAAGCTTGGTACATGTAATCTCATTGATTAAAATGTGTTGAGCAAGACTTAAAAATAAATGATGGAAATCCAGTTTGAGCAGGGAAAATCCAGTAAGATTTACACTGACATACAGAACGTGGAAGAAGAGAAAAACGCAGCTGGCTGCCAACTTAAGCCTGTTGGGAACAAAAGAGAAATTGTAAAGAAAAACAATATAAAACCCCAGTGTCTCCAGCTGACACAAAACCATGGGTTTACTGGCTTTTCTTTTGCTATCGTCGTAGGTACAGTCCCACTGGAGCAGAAGCAGGTGCCAAGCATCTGTTTCCACAACAACGCTCGGGAGTCGGGAGCATACGTACTTACACATCATTTTAACTTTTAACAAATAGAAAAAAGTTGGTTTGGGGAATTTAATACAGTGACTATAGCAACGCATATTCTCAAAAACAAGCAAAGTTATCCTCAGCTGTCACTTGTATCCATTATTATAGATCCATGCTTGTATCACATTGAAAGTATTCAATCAATGCTTGTACAACTCGTGTACTCGATGTGTGGGAGCTCGACGACTAAAAAAATGTTCTCTCCACTACAGGATCTCCTTCAAACAGCTATTACTGTATGAAGAACTCTGGGCGCTATTTCATATCAATTCAATCTTGTGAATAGAATACACTATCTGACAAAAGCAGGTCCCATGACTTCAACTCTCAACACTAAACAAAAAAGACTTTATGTGAAAGGAATCGTCTTCAGCAGTAAAGCAACAATGCCCAGAGCCACGAAATAATTATTTAGGGTTAGATATCAGATTTTGAATGAGGGGGGCACGGGTAAAATTTAATTTAAAAAAGGTTAGCTTCCTAAATAACAGGAACATTGTGATTTCACGCACATTTCTGTTGAGCCAATTCAGAACTATGCCAAAGGTTAAGTGACTATATGATCCTCGATCATTTTTGTCTTTAATCAGAGCTAAAGTAGCTCTGAAGAACTTTATTAAGATTGTGTAAGATAAGATAAGATGCACTTTATTAATCTCACACAGGAGTGTAAGCAGGCCTTTTATTTTGTGTTTACAAATCGTTTGTCTGCACCATATATAGAGCTGCAACTAACGATTATTTTGTAATCGATTAATCTATCGATTATTTTTACGATTAATTGAGTAATCGCTTGGCTGTGAATTGTGTAGAAAAAAATTATTTTTTCATCACAAAAAGCTAAAGTGCCAACACTCGAGGACGTATTGATGGCGTAAACTTAACGTAAATGTTTGTAACAGGCTCTTTGTGCTAATTCTGCTATCTGATTGGATGAGACAGACAGATATTCATGAAATTATAAAAACAAAGTCGGTTTTAATCAAAAATACTACATTTTCATGTCATTTTTGCTCTGTTTGAGTCCGTGTGAACTAGAAAACGATTAATCGATTACAAAAATAGTTGTCGACTATTTCAATAATCGATTAGTCGTCGATTAATCGATTAGTTGTTTCAGCCCTAACCATATACCAAAGTAAATTGCTAGTTTGTGCCTTCCCATTTCTTACAATAGCAATAAAAAGAATTCAGGTTCTGACATGCCCTGCATACATCATTATAGCATTGCTCCTCCTTTATCTTCCAGATCATTAATAAAATAGATAAACATAAAGCATTGCTACAGCAGTACATCTGGCTTTAACATGACCCATACAAATAAAGCAGGTGATGCAACAACCGCCGATGCATTTTTTTTTACTCAATAAATCCATGATATACTTACATTTAATATTTTGTGCCATAAATATTGCTTTTCTCAACAAAACTTTCCCTTGACATTTATCCATACGCTTCTTTTCATTTGTCACTGCAAGCCCACTGAGTCTGTTAAGTTGCACTTTGTCTCACTGCATTAAATATGGATGAAGGAAAGCCAGCGTTAAAAAGTCATGTACAACAAGCAGCAGCCGCAGCAGGGACTTGCAGCAGGCATGTAATGATGACTCCTCAGGGGCACGACTGTATGGATCTACTGTACACAGTAAACAGCCTCTACACACAGACACACACAACTACACAAAAATAGCAGAACAACTAAATATCTGCAAGAGAAATTAAAGGTTTTTTTTACCGGTATCATGTGAGTTCAAGGCTTTGTCCTTGTCAGTATCCTTTCAGCAAAAGCAGCGACAGCATGGACACAAAAAGGCACAGAGTAAGAGTGAGGCGCGGTGACACTCGGGGGAACTGCTGCCTCCAGGTCTTTTTAGCTCACACACACATCAGAGTCTTCTAAGCATTCTGGGAGGTTGACAACTGTGCGTCCTGGTTCACTATCTTTAAATGCACCACTGTCATTGGTCCTTTCCTTCGAGTGACCTTCAACATAATTGGACCAGCCTCGGAGCTGAGAAAACCCAACATGAATGATATAAGATCAAAAGAAGGATGGTGTTGATATTGTTGGAACAAGTTCTTCAAAGTAGGTCATCATAACCATAAACATGTACAGCATCACGACGGATTGCTTATGTTGTTAAGCAGATCCATTATGTTTATTAGTCCAGTGACATAGAGCATATAATCTATTTAAAGGCTTAACCACCTCGTGTGTCTATTGTTGTTGTGATTTACACTATGTGCACAGCTGCTTCCAGGATGGACGTTGCAGCACAAGTTATTTGAGAGAGCAGCCCACCGTTTTGGCCATTTGTTAATAATATCTTTTTATCCTGAGGTTTTGCTGATTAGTGTTGACGGTGCTCGTGGAAAAGCATGGTTGATCACACACTTACTGGTGGTCAAAAGAGTCTTTCAGACGTTGTCTAGTAGAGTTACTGTGAGGCAGACAGTGTGGAGAATATGTTAATATAATGTTGTATAATAACAAGAACTAAATAATAACATAGAACTAAAGGTAAAGGTGCACTTTACCTTTGCCTGTTATTATTAAGACACATTCTCAGATTCACAGCGCCGCAAATGGCAAAGTGGCACGCTCTCTGCCAAAACAATTTCCAAGTGGTAACTTTTGTTTATTACTTACGTGGCAATAAAAATGATTCTGATTCTGAGATTCCTGTAATTCTTGCACTAGTGTAGTAACTCAAATTTGTATTTATTTTTTCCTCAATGGTTCATTTTAGGGATGGGTAATAAAATGGCATTCAATTGGGTTTTGTAGCCTCTTCTTTGATGCAAATGGAATCCAATTTGTTTGCGATATTGCCATACATATACTTCTTAGCAGGTGCACAATGAGGAGAAGTGCACCTGCGTGACTTTCATAATGAATCTGATCAGTAAACAATCTCTGGACTGGGCATAATTGTTTAAATGGAATCAATTATTTATTTTATTTTATTTTTTCGGCGTGAAACAAATTTAACATAAATAAAATACAAAATTATAAATATATTAAAATTATATATAAAAGATAAACAAATACTGTTACATCTGTGAAGAGGCGAGTCTTCTCACTGTTTTTAAAAGCACTAAAATCATCCATAATAACGCGTGTTTTAAACTGCAGAACATTACGAGAAAGCTATAACTTGTAGTGAAACAAGCGGGTCAGATCACTTGCTCAATGCAGCTTTAATAAGAAGAACAAGATTGAAAAGAACAATGAGTAATTTGTATTTCTGTTGAGTCATTTGGTGTGGTGACCCTTCTCCCAGATTACAGATCCTTCAAGCAGACGAAGCTAAAGAAAACAACAGGAAACTACCAACAATGATCTTTCCATATTGGTCCGAACACAAATCACACACCAGCCTTTCAGTTAGACTACACACCAGGCAAACTTGGCTTTTAATACTTCATAGGGTGTACTAGTGTTTTTACTTTTAAAAACAGATAAACATTAAACACAAGAATGCAATGAGAGACTTTTGAAACCCTGAGGTGGAATCCAAAGTGTCACACTTGGGTCAATTATAAAACACAGATTAAGGAAAGTTCTAAATGTACTTGCTTCAAGAAATCTATCATCAATTTCAGGGTCTAATTGACCCAGATAGAAAGGAGTAGGACATTGTAGCTCATTAAAGCAAACCGTAAAACATCTACATCTTTACAGTTCGGCTGTAATTAAGGATTATTGTGATAATGGATTATAACAGCCCTCTCCCTTTGAAAGGACATTTAAATGACAATTTGAAACAGTACCGTCTTATCATTCAAAGTAGACATAAATAAATGTAATTACTGCAATGTTTGAGAATTATAATTATGTCTAAGCAGTCACATGTTTTTGGACGATTAATCAAATGTATTCAAATAGTTGTGTGAAAAACATGATTGGTTGTAAACTGTAAATTATTTGTCCTATTTACAGACAACATTTTGATAAACAAGCTGCCAGACATGATTTCAGAAAAAGCACTAGACATAAGATAAGTAAGACAGTAAGATTACAGCAGGACATTGTGCAAGTTTGGCTATTTCCACTAAGCACACCAGAGATTCGGTGATAATGCGGGGTAATATTGGAGAAGCGCCATAGTAAAGCACTGTTCAGTTCATAACACCCAGTAAAGCGCTGCCCTCTTTCCCAAGCCGCGCATTTGTCACTGTGGGTCAGCCGCGGCTCTGCGCCAAGATCTCTGCAAACTCATGACTCCTCAGCCTATGGCGCTTTCACAGAGAGAATACACCATGCACAACCAACACCCTACCTCTGCAGCTGCAAAACAAGACACGCATGTTATTTATGTGCTGTTTCCATCCTGACCATATACAAGTGTCATTGGATAAACAAGGACCCCGGAAGTGTCATAGCGGCGTAACTAACGAGGGGAACGCGGCGTGTGAAGTATAGGCAACAACACATGGGTGGGAGTTACCTTTACAAATGGCATGCCATGTCACACAATGCCTCGGATTGAACTGGAAATGGAGAAGAATACAGCTAAAGCCAGAATTCCCACATGCAAAACGCGTACCCAGGCCGGATATGGAGCAGCGGCTAAAGTCAAGCTAGCGGGATCAGCGCGGACGTAAGTTGACGTGATGTTTACGCAGGACAGCAGTGATGAGAAAGCAGACAACTCACCCACTGGACTTTCTTTAAACTTGGACGATCGTCTGCCATTAACACTTTTGTCAAATCTTTGCGAACCACTCTTCTTGCTCGACGCCATCTTCGCCCCCTCTGTTTACGCCAATGGGACGTACGTGGTCCTCTTCATAGCCTACCTGTAAGCCCCGCCCCGCGTCACAGCCACAGCCAATCACCGCAGACATGAAGATCCAGAAACCAATCACATCATCACAATTATTCAGAGACTCGCCCATTTATTATGAGGCGTTACCATGGATCTATAATTGAGAAATCAGTGAAATTCTGGTTCAGGTTTAACAATGACGAATATCCCACGAAACAGGAGTTAATTGTTGTATCGTGTGTGCCTGTATTTGACTGTATGTGTAGGTATGACAATTCAAAACAATGTCACTCTGGATTTGAAATAGAATTTGGGAGTCCAATTTCAGCATCTAAGCAACTCATTAGTTAGGAAAAACAATTCAACACATTATTGTATTTTTGCACCATGTGTTTTACCCATCCAACACAATACTAGAACTTGTAGAAGTACATTATTCAAACCATTTGTAAAAAGTAAAATACATATTTAACATACAGTATACAGCAAATCTTAAAGAAAACATATACAAGTTATGAACAGGAAATCTATGGTTGCTCAAGCTGGATGTCCTCATTGTTGCCCACGTCTTCATAAGGGCCCCGTTCTTGCTGGTGTACAATTTGATCATATGCAGCACAGTGATCCAGGTCGAGACCCTATAAAGCAAACATTTATTAAGATCATATTAAGGCCTTTTCCCCGTCCATTTATCAGTGCCCCCATATAGACATTATAGACACAGTATATAGTTAAGATTTGCATTCACTATTAAACATGTATACACCATATTTCACCTGGTATATGTTCTCTTTTTTCACCTTCTTTTTCTCCAGCTCATTCAAGCGTTTAGACTGTAAGTAAACATTTACCGTGAGAAAGTGTGCAACAAAGGGAACTTTTATGAGAGCAGTCACAATACTTTTTTATAGGATTACATGTGTTGATAGCAATGGGAAACTATTGTGAAATCTTGGAAAGCAGCCATTGCTCAGGCTGCTGTGGCGAAATAGTCATTTGCCAGAGGGGATTATGAGTACTGAAATAACCTTGAAAAGCAGGGTGACTGAAGGCAGCAGCACACATAACAGTAGCAGGACTCCTTCTGCAGTTAGGATGCCATTCTTGACACTTTCACTCAGTTGTATGGTCTTCTCAAGAGGCTCTATGCACACAAAAGGATTAGCTTTAAAACAAATTGGGCTCAAGAGATATCCATGTAAAAAATTGCAGAAGTAAATACACAATGTCAACTGGCTGTTGAAAGTGTGGATTTATAAGTTACATAACAAATATACACTAAAAACAGCCGCAGCTTACAGATCACATGAATGGCCTGTATTGTTAGAGAAAGGTTTATGATAGGCGGATAATGATATTAGCTAATATACACTTAGATAATTCTGCATACAGTTATCCACAATGTTAGACTCATTAGGATGACTTGTACTGGGGTATTTTGGTTGGGGGCCACATATTTTTGGCTGTACTTTTAGGGTTTACAGTTAATTTCTTTGTGCATATGTGTTCATTATATCATGCAAGATCAGTCCAAAGAATACATTTTATGTAACATGAGTTTGAATTTGTTGTTGGATTTCAGTTTGTATGGATCAAACCAAAAATGCACCAAAATATAAAGAAAGAGGAGTACGGCAGACTAATGATTAAGATATAGATTTGACAGAACTAATTATTTTCAATGTTTAGATTAAAATGTATGAGGTGGTTCATTTCAATCTTCTTACTCATGTGTTATACATTTACAGATTATGTAGGTATGTTATGATTACTTTCATTTTGCTTCTTTATTCTTTAAGCTAAGGATTGATATTGTACTTGATATTCACTTATCTTGAGTTGCATGCTCCTCTTTCCTACTGCGAGCGGTGATGCAACACTCAGCTATCCCTTCTATGTGACAAATAAAGGATTTCTTAGTCTGATTCTTGAGCTTTTTGAGAACATGCATATTCCATGGTAGCTGTGTTAAACTCTTTTTTAAATTTATTTACTTCCAATATTGTAAAATCCTATCAGCCTGATGTCTGATTTAGACCATAGCATCATCTGCTGTTACATTTCATTCAGACAATTGTAAGACTCCACACTTACTGTAGACCTGCAGGTAAGTGCCATGAGTGAATACTTCACTGGCGCTGAGAAAGCAGCGGTAAAAGCCAGAGGCATTCAGAGTGGCTGCAGATATGATGAGAATGCCACAGTGCCGGCCTTGGCCCATGTCTCTTCTGTCAGTTGTAGCGTTGTGTAACGTTGTGTAAAAGGTCAGCTTCTGGAGATGAAGCCGTGAGCTCTTGATCCAAAGAAAGTTTTCATTTCCACTGGAGTTGAAGCAGCACTCCAGGGCGACTGGATGAGAGACTTCAACTTTCACAGAAGGACGATGTGCTTCCAAAGTCACTTCACACCGAACACAGAGCACTTCATCCAGAAGCAAAAACAAAGTCATTTTCAACTTGAATATTTTGTTTTAAATATATATATAATTAAAGGTGGAGTACTGCATTATTGTGTGTTATTTACATTGTTAGTCCAGGCTTGAAAATCTGTTTAAGCAAAATGCAGAAACATTTATCGATTGGGGTAGTCCTATTTCACTTTTTTGTCCGAGAAAGCTGATCTAATGATGTGACAGAGGCCAAAAATACATGTATGTGAAACCAACAAAACGGTTTTGAAAGCTACAGGAACTAGCCACATGGATTGCATCATGATATGATCCATCTCAATGGGGCTAAAAAATCTAAATAAATGTGTGGTAAGACACTGCAGCTTTAAATGCTGATGCTCTAGAGTCTGAATGAAATTTTTCTCTGAAAAAGGGCAGTAAAAGGTACAATATTGAATGGAGCCAAGTGACCCGATGGAACTATATTTATTCAGCAAGTACAAACCAACAACCACCTGTTAGAGCAGGAAGTCAGGCTCACTGGAGCAGGACTGTTTGAGCCAAAACAATGAATTCATAAAAATAAAAAAAGTAGCCGTTGTGCACTTTAAGTCTTCAGATAATTGGACGATTATTGATCAACAAAGTAGTATGATACAATTTATTTTTCTGGCCAATTTTAACTTTTACTCTTTACTTTTGAACCAAAATATCTGCACCTTACATTTACATACATGACTAGTTAATTTGCAGATGACAGCACAAATTAAAAAATCAGGCTTAACGTGATTTAAACTGATTCATTTGTTGTGGTTAGCAGTGCTTCTAAGTTCGGACCACATGGCTTAATTCCCACATGTTTTGTTTATAATAAAATTTTGTCTCCTGTATCACATGAAATAGTTCTACAACAGTGAGTGTAGTATAGTGCCTAGAACAGGTACTGCCCCCCCCTTGGAATTTCAGTAATGACTATTTTTGAATCAAAGTGACATACAAAATGTTGAACAAGGATAATTAACTGGAAAAGAAAAAAAGTCTCACCATAAAAGCTGCAGACCAAAAGCACCAACATCATTAGATCTTTGTTTTAAAACGTTTCTCTCCAAGACTGAGTGACAGTTGGCGACCACACAGCTCCTGTCAGCTTCAGTAACTTCCACATTTGTATATGACATATTTACAACATGTGCACTGAACCAAGCCGTCCAAAAAGCAATACAAGACTATTCACGATTGCATAATATTAAAAGAAACTTAGACAAAAGATGAATTTCCCCCAATTTATTTAAAAAAAAAAAGAATTAAAAAAACAGAACGTACCACAACTTTCCTTAAGTGTACATCATGAGAACGTTAAACAGAATACAAAACACAACATATTTATTTATTGAATGTGAATGGAATTGCAAGTAAGACTAGATATGACCAGTTAGAGACGAAAAGCAAAATGTTAATGTTATAATGTAATTGACCTGAACAGAACATCACGCAAATACATTTTGATACCGCTGAGTAGATGGGGAAATAGAATAGAATAGAATAGTATGCAATAAATGTATGCTTGTAGAACATTTCTACATCTTTCCAAGATACAAACAAAAGTGTCGACCATAAATACAAAAGCCTTTTTCCAATGTCAAAATGTCAAAAATCTAAACTCCCCAGAAGCTCATTAAACATGTGGTCAAGCTGTGCATCGGTGGGTGATGAAAGAAAACGGCAAAACAAAAGAAACGTGATCATGATTTTACAAGAATTGAGGTGAAGCCAATTGTCAAACTATTCTACAGACATTACGTTAGGCTAATAAATGTCCAGCGAACTATGTACATTTCTATTTCACAAAGACAGTGATGGTCAAACATGTGTAAAAAGGCTTTGATAGTTTGCATAATTCATAGAAGACGAGATCGTGATTAAAGTACAGCTGGAACCTCAAAAATATTATTATATTGTCATTTTGAACACGTTCCCGTATTGTTCAGTTCCAGTGGCAGCAGTCTCAACAGCGTTCACATGATTAGTAAGATGAATCTGACGTCTTCTAAGTGCGTATGACGGGTTATTCAAATATAAAAAACATTATTAAGATTTGTTTTTCAGAATCGACTTAAAAACCTTCCAGTTTCCCCTTTGGAGAAGGGTTGGGATTACAGTTTCTTCCCTGATCATATCCGGAGAAGAAACCCTAACCCTTCTTTCTTATACATGTGTTAGTCTTTGATATTGTCGTCTCTGGTGCATGCTGGGTACTTTTCTCTTATTTAGTATTCCAAAGTTAAATGGCAAATGGGAAAAAAGTTAATCAGAGTCAGGACATGGGGAGCAGACACAGTAGTAAAATGATTCATGATTTCAAAGCCTTGTATGGTTGTTTCTGTTGCCTGTGTATCAAAAGAGCTAGACAAAAAAACTAGCTTTTTAAATAAAATGTATTATTATATAGCGGAGGAAAAGTTTAAAACTGAGGAAGAGGGAAAACAGTAGAACTAAAGTGTTACTACATGGACATTTTCCGTTCTACTGTCAGTGTGCCTCAGGGCAGCTGTGACTTCAGTAATAGTTTATCACCACCGTGTCTGGAGTGAAAGTGTCCAGTCTTTAGGTGTCCAAAAACAGTGCTGTTTCGACCGATGCATTATTACCACTGAGGAAAGACTGTTTGAACACTTGCTCTGGGTATGACACCACCAAAGTCAATAAAACTGGTAAAAACAAAAACCTGTCATATGCACTTAAAACATTTTTGATTTGAATACGCCTCTAACTTGAAGGCGATGTTAGTCTTCCGTCACCGGCACAGAGGAAATCCTAATATACACATAAGCGGTGTGGAAGCGCAGACAGCAAAGATTACAGTGAGGATCTAACGGTGTCATTTTTGGTCTTGTGAAGGTTTCGCTACAGCTAAGAAATGAATATAGCATATTTTAAGAAAGTACAATCAAAGTGGAATAAAAGATACAAATCTAAAATGTATTATATATGGTTTTGTAAATTACAAACAGGAATGGAACCTGATTTCATATAATACAAGCAGCGACAATGGAAGAGTCTGGTTTTCATCCCAGCAGCTGTGGATACTAGGAATTGTGTCTTTATACGAGAAAGAGGATATTGTGTGTACCTGGAATCCTAGAGTGAGCTTGTTACTTTTGCGATCTACTAAGTGCAAACACTGTTACTACACCGTCATTTGAACACTATCAAAACGTAACATGATAAATAGCATTCTACATAATCAGCCATTGGATAACATTCTGTTCTTTACACAAGTCGCCTTCTGGTATTTATTTAAACATTCTTGTACTTTATCTTTTGTGTGTTACAGTGTAACCCAAAACCAAGCATGACAGAAGAGGAATAAATAAAAGCAGTAAATACACTATTACCGGTAGAGTTGGCTATTGTGCCCAAATGTGACCTACTGAATAAAGAGACGCACAAATGTAACACACGTACACACTCACACTGCATGCATTCCATTCATGGTTATATAGTTTAACACAATTTGAAAAACTATGGTAGTACTTAAAGCTGGGGTGCCTGTTTATATTTCTAATACATTTGTATTTTTACTTTATTGCCTCTATTTACATTTAGAAAACTAGAAATATACATATTTGTAAGGAAGAGCAATATGAGGCTTTGGGCTGAAGCTCCCAGAATCCTGTTGGGCCTGAACAGCTCTTGTGCAGAGACCAATGATTCATGCGAGTACTAAAGGCTAAAGGGTTTGAGACAAAATAAAAACTATTTCAATTTCTCTGCTTGATAATCAGGTTACCCAGCTTTGAGTAGAATTTAAGGCATTTCCACAACAAAAGTGCATTATATACTTTGGCATGAGTAAAAAACTGAAATATTGGCAGTAGTTTAAAAAAAACATCTTCAATAGAAGAGCACCTTAAGGCTCTGAGGGTGCTGCGAACACTAAGTATCTCTGATTGTGTTCATGGCAGTAATGTAAGAAGCATGTGTGCGTCTGTGTGTTACAGAAAACCCTGCAGCCACTTTAACATTGCCTCTTATTTATACGCAGCAAATATTGCTTGTTTTTCTTGGCACCTCATGGTAAAAACAAAAGCCCACTGAAAAGTAGGATGTTTCTCTTCATGGTTCTTCAACACTCGCACACCCAGACACACACGTCTCCCATATTTGTTACTGGACCACTGCAAAACGGCCGACCCCCCCGGCAGAGGGTTAGGATTAGGGATCATACTCGCGGGGGTCCAAGTCGGCTTGTTGGGGTCATGTAAGATCTCACTCTTGCACTTCAACCCAGCATCAGGACAACTCTGAAGACAAAGCAGAGATAAACTAAGATTACAGGGGATTTGTTGACAATAGAATTTATTCTCCGATGTCGTTCATGAATTTAAATGTGAAGTCTAATGTGTCTAATTGTGTCTAATTTGTGAGTTTAAACCATCAGCTTGAGAGAAAACAAACCTTTCACTTTGAGTCTATGCTTTCCTCTAACTGCACTCCACAACAGATGTAAACTCAGGAATTCCAAGACCAATGCTTCCACACAAGTTTACGAGTTGAATTTACAACCCTGAGCCGCGTTCAAAACTGGTTCTTTGAGTGGGAAGTGAACGCAGCATGACGATATAAGGTGATGTGTCACCAGTGTCAGCAGGCAGCTAACCTCCAAGAGGGCCACCTGCTCGTTTCCATAGAGATGGACAGATGGAAAAAACTTAGTTTTTGCCGTGCAGTAACGCGGCTTTCAGTCAAAACACATGCATGCGTTAATTGTGTGATAAAAAATTGACGCAGTTAAAATGGCTTTAGATTAACACCATTATTAATGCGTTTAACTGACAGCTCTAGTTTAAATATTTAAATGAGAATGTGAAATTAAACGTTAAAGCTTGGCAATATTCTAAGGAAAAAGGAGCATAATGTTTAGATATTGTTTTGCTAGATGGTCTTGCCATGACTGTTTTTGTTAATCAAATTGAGTCAAATGAAATGTGCCACATAAATAAACGTTGTTTCAGATCCTACATGGCTTCAGATTCCTCACCCAGTGGCCAGCAGGTGGCATGACAGAGACCTAATGGAAGTTTCCACCTTCCAGAGAGAACTTGGAGAGCGCCTCCTGTAGTCGATGGTGCTCCTCTTCAACAGCCTGCAGCACACAAAATCAATATCACCTTAGGAACTGAGGACACACTCCCCCGTAACTCACGGACACACATTTCAACCTCCCCCTCTTAACATCCTCCCTTCGTCTCTCTCGCCGTTCCCTGACACATCCCATTGCAAGTGCTGGACATAATAGCCATTTTCAGAGAAGTCCAATTTCACAAGGCAATTTTCAGCAAAGGTATAACAGCAGTGGTTAAATGGTTTTCCATTCTCTAGTTTCTCTTTGGTGTCATTTTGGCCCCATTTGTCCAAAGTATACCACAGCCTGCTTCTTACTTAAGTTATCCGCAGTGAACGGCCTGTGGCCAGCTCTGCCTCAGCTCCACGTCAGCTCTTTATCTTCTGTCATATCTTTATCTGAGGCTGTCGTGTCTCCAGTTTCTCTATTATTTTCATCTCTATTTGACTCCTCTCACCTGCAGTTTTTTCAGATGTTTCTCCAAACTGTGCAGCCTCCTGCACACTTCCTCCATCCTCTCCTGGGACAGAACCATGGGTGCAGTGATGCTTTCATCGTCTGTCTTTATCTCAGCCCCATCCTTCACGACCAGGTGATTGTTCTCTTCCTCAGCTGCTGCGTTTGTACAATTCATAGAGGAAAATGAGAGTACAAAGACAAGTTGAGGCATGACTTAAATACAAGCAACGTGGATATTCATAAAAAGCATAATTGAATTATACGTAAATCAACCAACATAATTGCATTATTGGATGATAATAACACTAATAAGCATTTTAAAAGACATACCATGGGAATGTAGTATTAATTATGAATACGCAGCTGACTATGTACACAGTGTTTGAAATATTTATGGTTCTGACCAAATTTTACATGTTTTAATTTAAAGTATATGGGTACATTTTATTTAGCCCCGTAGGGAAATGTATCCACTGCATCCATGAATGCCTCTGTTGTACAGCTTGGTCAGGAGGACTAACAAAGCTGGAGGATATTTTCCTAATATACACGTTTTTATTGGTAGGGGAAGCCAGAGCTGGGCATGGGGAGAACATGCAAACTCCACTCAGCAAGGATTAGAACCCAGGACTTTGCACACCAATCTACTACCATACCACTTTTATTACTGCATGCTTTAAAGAGAATGCGTATAGTGACAATAAGTAACAAGTAAACGTGCAATATTTTTGTAAGATTGCATTTTTCTATAACAATAACATTTCTGTTCATAGGCATTCAGAACTTTAACAATAATTACCCGCTGAGTGGCTACTTTCTGTTGCTTCTCTGGTATTCTCCGATAAATCCTCGTGTTTTTTATCTAGTAGTGGATCTTCTGAGAAACAAATGCTGTTCACCAAAAACCTTTTCAAAGACATGACTAAAAAGAAGAACACAGATTCAGTCATCCTTACAACACAGGAGTACAGGAAAAACTAGTTTTCTTATCAATACAAATAATACAAGAATGAACACAAATCACCTTCATCTAAAGCACTACTGGCCACCTTTTCTTGATCACTGTTGGAGTGGCCTATCAAGTCGAAGCCTTTGTCTGACAGGAAATCAATCAAAGAGTGCCGTGGGTCTGAAGACTTCTCATCAGTCAAACTGTCCTTATCTCGCTCTACGCGCACACACAAAGCAAATGTTCAGATGAAGTCTTCGCAAAAGTGCAGCAATAACAATCTGTGCTATTTGGACTGTCTCTCACCACTGCCACTTTTTGGACTGCCATTCTCTGTGGGGCTCAAAGGAGCGTTGAGCCTGAATGAAGACGTGGCCAAAGAATTAGAATAGTTTTTTGTGAGTGTGTGTGTGTGTGTGTGTGTGTGTCAAAAGACTATATTGTACTTACGTGATAGGGCTGTAGGGGGCGCCAACAGCAGGCAAAGTCAGTTTCATAGGTGCACCGCTCTTCTTCAGATCATCCACTGCGGTCTTGATCACTTCAGTCCATCTTTTATTAAAAAAAAAAAAAAAAATTATACAATTGAGATAGTGTTATTACAAAATATATTCAAGGACGAAAAAATAATTATTTTGCTTATCGGGGGAATAAATACTTACATTTTTCTTTCGCCAAGAGACTGAGCAACGAGTTCGTAAATTTGTGCCCCACTATCCCAGGTAAAGATCACATAGAAGGCTTTTCGATCTGCAACGTGGAGAATAAAATGCCTGGGTTAAGCTAAAACAGAACGGTTTCTTTACAGAAGTGAGAGCAACCGACCTGTGGCCACCTCTCGCAGGAACACCGAGTCCAGCTTGATTATCGGGCTCAGCATCATCTTTCCTTCTTGAACAGCAATGTTACTCTTACTCTGGCATTTCAACACCATCTTATCATCCAGCTTCTGCAGCAGCACCAGCATGTCCCCCAGCAGCACACACTGCACCTCTGTGGAGCCGGGACAGGACAAAGGACAAGTGTGTGTTTAGCTCCATCATACATCGGCTTAAAGCAGGGGTGCCCAAACTATTTTACTTTACTGGCCAAATTGTTAAATGTCTATTGTGTGTATTGGTAACGATTTAGCTTAGCCCTCACTAATCAACAGCCAATTAGTGAAACATAATAATAATTGTAATAATGTATAGTTATTTAGCCATTTTATTTGGTATTTATTAGCACTTATTAGTCCTTATTCTACATTAATTAACTAATAACTGACACTTTCCTATAGGTGGGTTAGGGTAAGGGGATATCTAAGGTATTTTCATATTCAATTATTTTATTAAGATTTCATGCATGTCTTAAATTAATGTTTTACTTGATATGAATACAGTCACTGGTCTATCACTTTGGGTTCAATGTTTAGAATATATGACATTATATGGTTATTTTATCTTTAAATTCCTGCCATAGCAACAGAAAAATGATTTTGCAGCTTTTGAAAAGCTGAAAAGCCTTCTGTGCTTGATTGTGTATATTTTATTGTGGTTGGGGCAAACCAGGGCATTTTAAAAAAGGGCATGATTCCCAAGGACCACACTGTCAGATCCAAAGAAAAACATCTTGTTTTGTAGAAGCTTCTCACACCATTGCATTGAAAAGGGTCACAAGGGGATCACACTCCTACTACTTTTGTTTAGGTACATAACATCTACTTTGAGATTTGAACCAGACTTGGATGTATCATGAAAGAGCTGTGAACAAGAGAGCTGTGTCTTTTTAAGGGCATCAATGGGGCCAATGTGTGAATATACGTCATACAAGTCATCATTACCAATAGCCTTTTCTTTGGTGACTCTCCAGGTCAGAGGTCCTTCAAATAGCATCTTTTTCTGAGTTAGATCAATGTTCTAAAAAACATGTTGGAAAAAAACACACCAAATTCAAGACACTGATTTTTAGAAAACTCAGAAAGTGTTTTTAAAGGCTTTACAACCTTGTACTCTGTGTAGAGCTCATTACTGGGCTTGAGTCCTGATGTGTCCAGTTTTCTTTGGTATTCCTTCAAAGTCTGAAATCCACAAAATTAGGTTCAGGCTGAAGATGGTAGAACAGCACCAAAGTAATAGCAATCCAACAACAAAAGAATTTGAAGGGCCTTAAAACAAATGTGGTGCAATAGATGGTCAGTCACTTCTCAGGAGCGTGCGGAGTGATGGATGGTGCGATTCTCACCAATAGGTTCTCCATCATTTTGACCTCCTCATTGACATGGTTGAGGATCTTTCTACAGCACTCTGCGCTCTGTTGAATCCTCTCCTTCTCTGTTGAGTCCTCTGCAGGAAAACAAACAGCACAGTGCACAGGTAAATACCACTTCTACACTGGCGCCCAGACAAAGGCATAAATCATTGTGGGGCACAAGGCTCTGAGACAGACATGTGATTGATTAGATGTGGTGTCTGTGGAGTTAACGTGACAGTGCGTGGCTCTTTTTTTTCAACCATTTTTGCCAGTGTTATCTACGGTCTGGTTGTTTTGTTGCCGTCATAAACAAATGACAATGATTCTAAGTTGAGTTTCTAAATGAAAAAAAAGAATGTATAAAAAGCAGCAATTAAACTGAAATGTGTTAGATATCTGTGCATGAACAGATTAGGACCATAGCTCAATATCTTTTTCAAAACATTTTGTGTCTCCCTCCCATTTCGTTTTGTTGATTTACTAAGAAGCAACATTTACAAATAAACTAATGTGTCAGATCAGCCAATAATGCTTTTTGAACTGGTTTTGCTCTTCTAAACACATTATACCTTGTAATACAACCAAAAACTTGAGTAACACAAACTAGTGATGTACCTGTGTATTTGGCAATGTTCTCGAGCAGCAGTGGATACTTGGTGAGTCTCTGCATCTCTATTGGAATGATGTCCTTAAGTTGAAGCCTGCGACACTGTGGTTTGCTCTCTGCATCCTGAGAACACACAAACGTTTACATGACAGATGTTAACAGATGTAACATCTCAGAGCTGAGTGCTGCTGTGCACTGCACCTGGATGAATGAGTTGAAGCGAGGCTCCTTCTTCTGCCTGCTCTTGATCTGCTCCAGTGCCCACGACTGGTGACTGCAGAACCGAGCCGTGAGCTTCTGGAACCACTCCCCCTCTGTGCCCTCAAACTGGAACACACAAACACTGACCTTAACACTGACAATACACCCCAAACTGAACATTTTTAAAATACATACTGTATGTTTTCCCAATTCCAGAGTTAAACTTTGCATTATTAAGATATACAGTTTTATTTATATACAGTTATTTATATTTAGACATTGACACAATTTTGACTTATCTGAACAACCTCACGATGGAATTGAAATGAAACAAACAAGATGTGCTTTGACAGCAGAGTGACAGCAGAGCTTTCATTTGAGCGTTTTTACATCCAAATCAAGGGAACGGTGTAGGAATTACAACAGATAAAAGTTGATTTGGAGTCTGCTCCTGTTCATTTTCAAATATTACATCCAAATATCTGTCACATGCAGTGATTCAAGCCACAAATTAGGCTGAACATCAAAACAAACAATCTTTGTTTAAGTCCCGTTGATGTCTGTGCGTGCAAGACTTAATATTTTGTTTTAAACCACTTTAAGAAGAGAAATGTTTAAAGAACGTCCCAATACTTTTAAACCAGATGAAAGTGGGGACAAACATAAAAAGGATTGTTATTCCTACACCATTCACCTGTTTTGGATGTGAAAATCTTAAAATAAAGCAACACTATTCTTTAAATTTCAAATCCAAAAAATGAGAATTGTGTCAATACCCCATTATGTATAGCCCCGACTGTCGCTTGAACACTCACCCTGTTCAGAACTGGGGTGCTGATGAATTTGATGATGAAGCCATCCTCCAAACGCAGAACCTTCAGATTCTCATAAAAGTTATCTAAATTAAAAATACAGTTTGTTTTTGGTTATCATACGTTATTGTTTTATCAGTTTGATGTAGGACTTACAGTGCATATCAATAATCTCATCCAGGTTGGGAAAGATGGCAGCAACTTCATCAGCCGTCAGCAGCTCCTGTCTTTCCAGAGGTTTGGAGAAAATCATCTGAAGGACACTCAGCATTCGCACATGAGCATGCTCAGTGGCAAATAATTCTGGAAACAATGTACCATAAGAAAAGATGCTTTTACACAGAAACCATTCTGTCGTTGTGCTTTTGGCCTCACCGTTGATGACCTCCTGTCTTTTGGTTTCATTCTTACTGAGGCAGGACAGTTTTGTAGCGGACGCTAGCTCCCTCCAGTTAGGAGGGTCCGGTTCAAACTCCAGGAGGCGCGGCTCCACCTCTTCCAACTGTGGGGAGGGACTGGTGGGGGAAGCACCTGGCCCTTCTGCCACCAAAACTGGTCCATCCGCACTATGAAAAAATCAATACTTGAATGAATTAGTAAGTAAGTAGTAGTAGGTAATCTTTATTTATATACCGCCTTTTCACTGCAGATCTGAGTCTCAAAGCGGTTTACAATTGTTAATTTTTGGGCATTTGTCTCTCACTCCACACAGAGATGGGAGCGGGGCCAGTACAGGAGGCACATGCCAGAACTATTGGACATATTTTTAGTGGTAGGGGAAACCGGAGTACCCGGAGGAAACCTACGCAGACACGGGGAGAACATGCAAACTCCACTCAGAAAGGCCCTGGTCCGACTGGGATTCGAACCCAGGACCTTCTTGCTGAGAGGCGAGAGTGCTATCCACTCAGCCACCGTGCCGTGTATTAATGAATTAATACATAAATTTACAGATTTTACAAAATATTGAGCAGAAAAATAAGCTAATTTATGTTAACTGTTTAAACACATTTCGTCCTACTTGCAAAATCATAAGTCCCAGTAGCTCTCCTGACCTTTTGGCTAAGATCTCTCCCATCGAAATACAAATTATTAAAATTTGCATTTTTTATAAACAAAAACACAAACAATGTAAAACAATTTTACATTTCAATATTTGCGGATAAATTACATATTGCCATAAATTACATATTTAGATTAGTCCTTGAAAGTAATTGTAATCTAGAGATTCATAGACATTTCTACAGGAAACAAGACCACAGACCTTTTACAGGAGCCGTGCTGATGAACAGCCAACAACAGTTAATAGTAGCCTAGTGTGTGTCCCCCAGGAGCATTGCCAATGTAATAAGCACCTTCCCCCAGTAAAAGAACTGCCGGTCTGACAGTCACTATCTGTCTGCCACTACAGAACAATTTAACTCCAAGTAAATGTGGAACAGTGCTTGGTTGCGACAGCCATCTGCCCCTGCTGTGAGTGCCTTGAATCGGCTATAGAAGCAACGGCCATCTTACGGATGGAGGTGATGGGGGACGAGCGGGGTGGGTGAGGCTGTGGTGGAGGGTGGCTGCAGGTCCACATCACTACGAGAGCGTGACTGTTTGGCCCGGGACGAGCCACGGCGCCTCGACGAGTGCCGGTCCACACGAGCACTCTCACTGCGGGCCACTTTCCTACTGCAGCAGTGTGAGAGCAGGGCGGGAAGAGGGGGAGAGCGGAGACCAAGGAACCACGGAAGTAGATGGCACAAGTATGAAGAAAAGGAAAGGAGAAGACGACGTGGGAAACAAGTGAAAAGAAAGTGAAAACATGTATGAATAGTAAGATTGCACAGATGGATAAATAAAGAAAGAGAAATTAATTATGTCAAATTGTGAGATGAAAGAAAAAAATCTATATATGAGAAGTGGATCAAATGAGAAAATATGCATGACGATTGGAGCATGCACATCTCATTCAGGCTGCTCATTATCCAAGCCATGCATTGCTTCCACAAATCCTCACAAATCATTTAACTCGATTGAATCATTCAGTACGCACCATACTTCAAAACGTGTCAACACAGTTCAACTTAGTCCAACTATCCAACCAGGTCTCAATACTTAGCTGAGGAGCGATCTAAATGTGAGTGATGTCAGATCTACGCAAGTCATGAGGCTGAGTGTGTGTATAGTGTGCGGTCTGTAGCATGTCCAAGACTCTGTCAGGGCGTGGGGACCCACCTTGTCCTCCGTCTGAAAAAACACAGGGCACCACATTGTTACACGACCATCTCATCCACTTGGAGGGCCTACTATCACAACCTGTAACTGAATGCACTCGCTACCTTCTTACAACCTAAGCACAGTCAGTCTAGGGCGCCAAAGCATCGAATACAAAGAGTATTACACACGGAGGACAAGCAAGACCCTGGTTCAGACAAAAACACCTTGAGAAGCACACAGGACTTACAGTGGCAACAATGTTAATATCCAAATATATGCCATTAATATCGAATAAAATACATTCCACCTTAGTTCACTAAAGCATGCTTTTAGTGTGGATTTATTAAATGACAGACAATACTTACACAACCAAGTATTAGCAACACAACAACATCTTGTATCTGGTAAATAGGACATTTGCACAACAAACAAAACACCTGTAGGCAACATGGCTGGCACAAAAGCATAAGGACAGAAGGCTCATGAGGAAGTGACACATGCGAGATCAAAAGTGGAAAGACAGACAGAGGAGGAGGGGCTTTAAAAAGAGGATCTGGGTTCACCTCATCAGGCTCCATCACAAGACTCCAGACTCTGTTAGCTAGCAAGCAACAGGCAGCGCAGACACAGCAGGGACAGACTGCTGAAGGAGCCTTACCACGCTCCCTCAATGTAAAGCAGCCCTTTCTCTGAGATGGATTTTGATTTAGTATAATCTCTCAGTAATCTGGATGTATCTAATCCTGCCATTGTTTCTGTACCTCTGCCACTACCCGCCTACCTCTCTTTTTCATTTACGGCCTCTTCTGTGGGAGTGTCACTAGAGGACAGAGGCTCCACTATGCTCAGGCCTCCACACAGGCTGACAGGAGATATGTCGCCCCCATCGGACACTGCCGGGGGCTCAAGGCGATTGAGCAAATGACCTGGAAGAAAAAAAACAAGAAATATACATCATTCAGAAGTATTGCATCATAATGACAAGTAGAAAATACATGTGTTAAACGTGTGTAAGTTCAGTGGTTCCTACAATTATATTAGACTGCTCCCACTTTGGGGACACCGTGGTGAGGGCCGTGAGAGGATTTAAAGATAAAATTAAAACAAAGTAAGCAGAGAATTCATTCATTCATTGCTAAAGAAGTTAAACTGATTACTATTGTTACCTGTTATTATATAGCTACTATTTCTACAGCATGCATAGTCGCACGTCTAATGCAGGTGACAGCTTAAAAGCTTTAGTTCTTACCTCAGCGGGTGAAACATGTTTTGCATATTTGAATTTTTTAGATCCAATCACCAAATTTTCCTGTACTGGTGATTGGATTTCGGTTTTTAGTGAAAATACTGAGGTACTGGGCTCCATGCACTCAAGCACACAATTGCTTGCCAGGCGACCAAGAAATTATGATTTTATTACTAGATTAGAAAATTTAACACAATAGATTACAATATTACCTTACAATGAATATGACAAAGAAACGTGTTACTGTCCAACACCTTCACATACCATAGAAACAAACTAATTATTATCATTAAAATAAACACACAAGTTACCGTCAGTGATCAAGGCCTCGGGGCTGTTCGCTGGACTGCTGATATTCCCTGACCCATCTGAGTTCTCCGGCGTCAGCCCCAGCACCACAGGGTTAGCCCCCGTGACGGACTTTCTGTTCCCTGCAGCTGGTTCAGACACAGAGCTTCTGATGGAGGATGAACCTTTGCGTTCTGAAGGCACTAAAGAAAACAAACAGAAGCATGAGAATACTTGTTCATTAAAATGCAGTTTTGAGCCCGGAAAAAAACTGCAAACAGATGTTATGAGAGAGAAAACCAGAGGAAAAAAATAAATGATTTTAGGGAAACACAGCATCTTGTGAGGGTTAGTGAAATCCACAGCTCTGTGTCAAAAGTAGAAGGTTACTTTTAGGTAAACCAAAACTCATTCTCAGACCCCCCTTCATGGTGATTGGGACATGCAGACATGCTAAGGTTACAGAGGTTATGGGTCACTACAGATACTTGAGACTGGTACCTTCATCGGCTTTAGGCTTCATGGGTTCAGCTGCAACAGGAGAAAAGCGCAAGACGACATGTTCTCAAGTCACTTGTTGTTTACATCCAAATCATGTATGCAGTTTAATATATGTAAACCATCCACCTAATAACAATTCTTACATGTACAGTATAACTTTTGAAAAAACTTACACATAGTACTGTTATTTCCACCCATCCAACTAGGAATGCTTGGAAATGGTCTGGTTTTAATCTTCGGTATGTCATCCCTTTTATTCTGAAAAATGTAAGTATAAATAAGATACATAATTTAAATTGTATCATGAATAATTTAGGCAAAGCAATGACTTATGAGGTAAAAAGCAGGACCAGTTTGCTGAGAGCCATATATTCTAGTACCTTTCCCAGTGGTATCCTGAAGAAACCTCCTCTGGACTTCTTGCTATCGACAGCCCTGGTCTTAACTCCGAGGTGCTTCATGTAGAAGGACACTGCTGAGAAGATGGACTGGCTGCAGGAAGCGGGATGAGAAAAGTTATTATCAGCAACAAAAACATAAAAGTAAGATGTGCAGCTTTATGCTCAAACTTTAATAAAATGGTGCGTACCATTTCTCTTCATCCGAGACAATTGTCGGCCTGGAGGAAAAAAAAAAAACACAAATGGGTGCCATGTAGCCTCAAGCCTGCTATTTATTCTTCTTTTTTTATTTTTTGTGACAACTAAAATATGTTAACAGAAAATGCATTCAAAGATGGACACATGTTAAAAGTTTATGAAACAATTAGTTGGATACTCCTAAATTATTTTTTGTCTCAACAGAAAGTGAAATGTTGTGAACAAACCAGACCACAACACTGGCTTAATATTACAAGAAAATATTGTATATTTAATACATCTGAGGAATGGTACTCTTTTTTCTGTTTTTTGTCGGAAGCTGATCTGAAGACTTTACAAGGACAAAAATATATGCATGTGGAAACTAGTGCTAGAACCAAACTGTTTTGAGAGAATGCTTACATAGTTCATATTTTGTGGTTTCAAAATTAGTTACTCCATTTTTAAGTTTAAGTTGGATGCAATTGGGCAGAAACTGTGCGGGAACTGAATAAGCCTGTTTTGCTACGATCATAAAGAGTGACCACAACAATCTCTATAGGTACTGCTCCATCCATCCATCCATCCATTTTCTTCCCCTTTATCTGTTGCCAGGTAAAGTGTACCATCTGCTACTTCCGTATCAAAACTTGACTACCAAGTAGGTACAGTATGTGGAAACAGCAGCCGGGGTCTAGAAAGTTAGAAGCAGATCCTGTTTTGTGCCAATAGCTTATTTCTCATACTGTTTTTTTTTTTTTCTCATAATATTGCTTCTACATTATCAATAGGATTGTGTCAGCTGGTGCCCAGAACTCTCTTCTCTCCTTTCGTTTTTTTGTTTTTGTTTTTGAAAAGATAAAATTGGACAGTTCTCTGACCTGCCGCTGGCCTCTTCTACTCGTCTGCTCGACTCGTTTCTTGTACGATAAGTGTACAGTGTAGATGGGCAGAGGGGCAAGGATAGATTAACTGGGTCTCTACTTTAAAAGCGTTCAGGACCATGGCTCTGCGGCTGCATCGATAACCCTCTGACCTGTTCACTCCTTTCTCCATTTCCACTTTGTGACCTCCTGTCTACTCCATCTATCTCATTGTTGGAACGGTGCCACAGAAGATCAATCATGCCAGTATTGCAACATGTGGATTCATACAGGCCCTTGATTTCATCATCTTTTGTACATAGTTATGTCCCTTTCTCTTTATAATCAGACACATTGAGGAGTGGTCTGGCTGATGTCACCCATAGTGTTTGCCAAATGCAGAAGAAGCCGATTAGAAAGGCGGACAAATTGGCAAGTTCGGAACCAAATTGCTTATTTTTGTCACAACAGGGAGACCAACTCGCTGTAGAAGCGACAGATGTCAGTCTCACTTGATGCTATTGTGGCAAACATTTGGATTTGCAAAAGAGATTATTAAACTAAAATCCACAGAATTATAGAAAATACTAAACCACAAATGTTTGAGTGTGACTCATAGGTTATTGAGCTAGTGAGGTTTCAATGTAAGTCAACAGGAGCCAACGTAACCTTTCCTCTTTTAACACCAACTAGCAAGAAACATTTTTGTAGTTTTATTTTCGGTATTATATGCATTTTTATTGTTCCTGTGTTCCACTTGCCAGTACAGCACTTTGTGGCTGTTTTATATTGGATTCACAAAAATATATTGATCGATTGAAAACCACATCCATGAACACTTCCCTAAAACAAGACTTCATGGAGCCAACAGGTTAGCATTGTCCATCTATATATAGTCTGTAAAACAAATGAGGAGACCAACTGTGACTCTGCCATCTTGTCCAGCAGGTTCTCTGCTACAGATTTCTCCTTCATCTCCATGGGGATGCGGTCGGTGGGATAGTGGCTCTCCACATCAGCCAGCTCAGCTTCACATGGCGTCATTCCCATCATCCTCTTTGTCCTGTGCATATTGTATCAGTTATATATAAAATCCAATATATATATATAAAATCCAATATATATATATAAAATCCAATATATATATATATATAAAATCCAATATATATATATATTTTGTCACCTGAAATCTTCTAGCTGTTTGGCCACTTCGCCGGACTGCAGAGCCTGGACGTCAAGGACATAACGCCTTTGAATATCTTCTGCAAGCAACTCTGGTCGAGTCCGGTCTAAATGAACAGTGAAGAGACAGCTTTTGAAAAAATTATGTATAAAAGGTTATGATACCAGAGATGAATAAATCCATTATTTGCTTCAAAGTATATATGTAAATATATACGTCATTCAGGATGTAGTGTAAATGTGCTCAAATACAGAAAAAATTCAGTCACAAACATAATTAACTAACAAAGAAAAGAAACATACCTAGTTCATTTATTATATGAAATGGCACTGCCACTCGGAGAATCTACAAAGAAAGACCATTTATTTACACAACAATTGTCCAGGAAAAATATGCAGTTTAAAAAATGCGCCACTAGGGGTCAGATTTACACCAGAAATAAATGTGAGATTCCAGCTGTAAAAGAATTAGATGCACACTGCTTAGAACAAATACAATTCTGAGGCGGCAATTACATATGGACCATGTACTAAGTATTTTTCTCATTTTCACGAGTCAATTTTTAAATGACAAGTTACTTTAATCAAAAGTATATAGGAGAATTTTCCACTTCCGGACGGATCATCAAGACTATTGGTCCTCCTAATTGTCAATCATTATGGTGATAGTGCTCCTCAAATAAGACCAGAGGGTTTTGTTCAAAAAGTGGAGACAACAGGTCTTTCGTAAACTTTGTGAAAATCCTCCTATATATATATATATATATATATATATATATATATATACATACACCTTTAAATATCAAAGAATATAACTTTTTTTCCCCTAATCCTAAGTAAATATGTAAAGATAAAAGCAAATAATGAGAAAGGAGTGTTATATTCACATGCCATGGAGGGAAGCAGGAGGACTCAAACACACAACTGGGAGCCTTTTTGAACAACAAAACTAAAATGGGAAAGGTTGAAGGAACAATGATGGACTGGTTTTGCCCTTGCTTTGTACCAATGTCCATTCTACAAAAGAGTAGATTGGTCTAATAATTGTAATAATTTCACTCCAGCCATTATTCATAAGCATAGGATATGAGTGTACTTTAAAGCCAGAGTACTAAATAGTTCTAAATAGTTTCTCGCTCTCAAAGGTTTGGGAAAGCTTGTTCGATCACTAGCTTTCACAGGCATGTATTTTTTGCCCTAACATTTTAGATCCTCTTTCTTAGACAGAAAAGTGGAAAAGGGAGGACCACTCTCACTCGGCCAATCATATCTCGTCAAAGCGTCAAATAGTGATTCCCTAGAGGTTAGTATGCAAAAAATGATTTTTAAAAAATTTAAAAAAAGAACCAGTACGCAGTTTGATCAGATTTGTTTCACATAATTGTGCTTTTGCCACACTATTTTTTGGCAAAAAGATGTGTTATTTATATTAAATACTGAAATTTCAATTGAAATGTATTCAATCTAGGCCGACAAACAAATGTCATAAAGCCATCTTTCATCCATGTAACAAATTCATGTTTGTTTGACAATCATGTACAAATCCTGTAATACCAGACAAAACTATCCCAAAACTCTGCTGGACAAACAAGCGAAAGCTCCCTGCGGGCTATAACCTGATTACTCCCTCACAAATAATATTGTGCAATGAGCTACTTACTGCACCCTTGTCCAAGAAATTGTTGGTAAACTCCACAAACTGTTTCTTGGTTTCTTTGGCACTGAGGTTTTTAAGGAGCTCCCCGTGAAGGTAACATAGCTGAAAAGACACAAGATTAGAAATTAACATTATTGTTAGTTTAGTTTGGTTTTGTATAAATAAAACATCCATCCTCTGATGACCAGTGCAGACCAACAGGGATTAGACTCAAATTTCACACTTAATTTCCCTAAACCTATTAACAAAATCAGTTTATAAGATGTGGCAAACCACGGTGCAGACATCAAACTCTACACATTCATAAAAAGTGAAAACGTACACATGTCAAATACATAAGCATACAGTATACACATTAGAACTGTACAATTATATACATATTGTTGCTCTTATAATAAACTATCGAATTATATTTATTCTAGAGCAATGTATTTTTGTGTTGACATTGGCCGTTGCATTTTTTTCTTTTATGTGTGAACTCACTGCACAAAACATTTAAAAGCATCCAGCTACTTCCACAGATCTACTTTTTAAACTCGATTCCTGAAAGAGATTCTTGCGTCCTTCTTCCTGGGTTTGACCTTCTCTCACCTGGATACACCGAGGCAGGACGTGGTCATGTACTTTCTACTTGCTTCTAACTTCTAACTGCAGTGTTTAGGTCATCAAGTTCAAGACATTTTTCAAATTCAATAAAAAGAAAGGCTTGATGCTGCAATATTTTTGACGGTGGTGTTTGAAGATTTGACATATTTTTTTGTTATTAGACTGTCAACTTTGTAACTTTAGCCACACACTCCATATAAGTCCCCTTCCTCGTTTTCAATAACCGCACTTCTCATTGTTTACGTGGACAGATCTGGACAAAAGGCTCAAGGGTGTAGGATGTGTAAGGGACCTGCATGGGTCATGGAGCCAAAACAATGAATGTAGGACACAAACAAACCCCAACTCTAACTTAAGTCAAAGTCACATTTCATATGACGGCTAAGGCCCGTGCTGTCAGGGCGTGTTCACACTTGTTGGTCTGGTCCACTTTAACTGAAACAATTCTACTTCACTTGTGGCAAGAGTGCTCTATTTGAGGATGCAATGTCCACTTGTCTCTTAAATCAGTGTATATTTTTGAAACATGTCTGAAGCTTTATAATCAAGTGAACCGGACCAAGTCATGTGTACATGGCCTAAAAACAAGGGTGAGTCTGCGTCGGTTCTGGACCAATGTGAAGAGACCAATTCTCTCGATTTCACAATTAAATTGATATTTAGCATACTTTTTTATTCACACCAAAATAACAACATAATTTAGTATACTTAGTATCTGTGACTACTCATCTTTTCACTGTGGCGCTATGTTCTAAATGCTTTGTGGGGCTTATGGTTGTGAAGGTACATGCTTAAGCAGTCAAATCGATGTCCATATGTAATTGTAGGATTTGTTTGGCAAACTTAACATTTATGACCATGTAATTACAGACAGCTGCAGGCCAAAGCTCTTTGTACTTCACACGAGGCATCAATGATGTTACATAACATGTTGTAAGAACCAGGCCAGGAAGACCTGCTGCTTTGGTTACAGCCATTTGGTCTTCAGTCGTTCTCTAGCGAGAGGTGAAAAGGTTATCTCACTGACATAATGTCATCTGCTTTAAAAAAAAACGAGATGCAATGTTTTTGAATAGGTTTGTCCAATTCAAGCCTTTGCTGTGGTTATGTCAAATGTTTGCAAATGAAGAAACTGCTAAATCAGTTTTGGGGAAGATGCTTGCACATGTATTGCTAAAAACTAAAATCTATTTAGTTACAGAATATTGAGTATTTTTCATCATGTGGTCCAATCAGAATACTGAATTCTGAAAACTTGGAATTATTATTATTATTATAAATGTCAAGATTCAGTGTAGGATTAAATCAACGTTTAAGATTCGTCCCACAGTTGCATCACAAGTTACAAAAAGTTAGAATATTAAGTAAAGCAAAACTCTATACTTGAAAATAAGTAAAAATATTAACCTTTAGCTGAATAAATGTGTATATATGTATCTATATATATCCATGTGTTACACTCAAGTGCAAGAATATTGAAGTAATAAGTCATTGGCTCCGTCAGTTCAAAGATTCACTGTGAAGATCTTTCATTACTTTAATCTTTACAGGGACATCACTGTATTCTGAAGCTGTAATAATAGCTCCAGAATACAGTATTCTGAAGCAGTAATATTGGTTAGTGCTAATACAGTACACAAATGTGAGGAAGGTGTGTTAATGGTCATGTCAGCCACAAACTGCATCATGCCTATTGCTTTGATTCACATATTGCGGGAAAAAATGATGCAACTTGTGTTTCCCAACAGGGCCATATAGATAGAGGAAGGAAGGCTGTAAAAAAAATATATGTTTATGACACAAAAAAAGCATGTCAAAAGCATCCGTCCATTTTTTTCAGCAATATCTGCGGCAATTAGCATTCAAAGCAGAAACGCCAAGACCCTGACATCCTCCAGGTCATCCTGGTGGAGTCCTGGCCTTCTAAGTGGTAGTCCCTCCAGTGTGTCCTGGGTCTTCCCTAGGATCTGCTCCCGGTGGGACATGCCAGGGACACCTCTCTAGAAAGGTGTCCAGGAACCAGGAGAAGCAACGGCTCTATTACGAGCTCCTCTCGTGTGACCGAGCTCCTCACCCAGCTTCCCATTTATGTTAAGGAAGCAGATACGGTCTCCACATTCAAGGCCAGGCTTAAAGCACTTTACTTTAATTTAGCATATAATTAGGTAATATATAATATGTAGTGTATATATTATATATATATGCTGTATTATGTTATATATTATGTTATATATTATTCAATAATGTATTGTATTATGTTGTATATTATGTTATATATTATGCTGTATGTTATTCTTTATTCAAGGCTAGGTTTAAAACAGTCCTCTTTAGTTTAGCATATGGCTAGGAAGGTAAGACTCGGAGAAGGTTAAACTCCTCAGAGTGTTAGTCAAGCTGCATAGGGAGTCAGTTTGCTGGGAGAAGTATGGTAACTTGAGCACTATCCTCTCCTCCTTCCTACTTTATCTGTTTAGCATTTTTAGGATTCTGACTGTAGTTTGTTCATTGCTATTCACCCGTTGTCCCATTGTCTGTTTCATGGTACGATGACGGGATCTCTGAGCCTGGCCTCTTCCATCTACACCTGCGGACTGCCCCGCCCGACCCGCCTGGGAGTGCTTCAGTCCTGCACCGGACCTGTCCACGTTCAGCGTCCACAACATGGCCATTAAATAAAGAATTATAGTCTAAATGAAATGTGTTTTATACTAAATATTTGAATCTATAACGATGACTTTTTGTCTTAAAACTTATTGTCAGATTTTTTAAACAGTGAAATACTTTGATGCACGCTTCCAGGTCTTACCAAAGGCGCAGGGTCAAACTGTAGGATGACATGTTGGATGAAGGCGAGCAGATGTGCTGGGTGGGCCTTTAGCTGGTCGATAGAACTGAAATATTTACATTGATCGTCCCCCACCTGGAAAAGTGAAAGAAGGACCAGCGCACAGGAAAGTTATAATATTCAAAATGAACACTTATGTTGTGTAATGTCAAATGTGACTCACATCATTGAGATCGTTCTCGAAGTCTTCATCCTCTGCCCCGATGATGCTCATGGCTGGGTTAGAGCTATGAGCCCCAAACACGCCCCGCTGGAGGAGAAGGAAGAAGACACGTTCAGGCCGAGGGTAAATGAACGATACAGTTCAGGACCAGGAGAAGCAAATGCAGTTCCACGTCATAATGCTCATGAATTTGCAAAAGCAAGATTAGCTCAGTCATGAAAATAATGAAAATAATAATAATGAAAATAATGAAAATAATATCAATGGCTTTAAATTAGATTTTACATTATGCATTTAAACTGGGTATTTTTGCACAAGAATTTAATATGAAAATGGCAAATTAATTGAATCTGATCTTTACCCCAGATCGCACCACAAGTTAAATGCAGCTAAAAACATTGTCTTTGATTAATGTAAAGTGAGTAACAAAATAAATGAGTTGTTTTAACCCTTTAAGCGCACAAGTTTTTAATACGTATGATGAGGTGGTGCCTGGAAGTTTCAGGGCTCATTCTCCGGGAGAATAATGCAAATCAAATAATATAAATTTTAAAATTAGGGAAATATTTGAGGGAAAGCAAGGCCACTGTATAGAAAGTGTCCTGGGATCATAGATTCATGGAGGTATAGCAACATAATCATAACTATTCTTCATCACACATGGGTGTACCATGGTAATAACTTTGAGAGATATAATACTTTGGCAAAATTTCAAACTCTTAAAATTATGACACAAGATATGAGAAAAAACACAGCTATTATTTTTAAATTAATTGTAATAATTTATTATTTTAAAGACCCTTCATGGAAAATAAAGAAAATAATTATTACCTGACTTAATAATACTTTTTTATAGGGAAACAAGTTCTTCTGATCTAGAATCAAATATTGCCAGGTTTATTTTAATTTATTTAGTATCATACTTGATCAAATTAGTAGTTTTACTTTTTATTAATATTCAATTTTTGATACTTTTGACAACTCCAGCACGAACGCAGAAGCGATTGCTGATGCCAATCCTTTGCCTTTGAAATTCATGAATGGAGGGGGCGGACCGTCCCCTCACTCTCAGCACCCACCACCACTTCCCACACACACCCAAAAACACATAAACAAAACCCTGTACACTGTCCTGCAAAGGCCGTAGACTCGGGGCCGCCACCAGGGAACACCCAAACGCTGTACAGGACACATCAAAAAGGTGGAAACAAACAAGAGCTATTGTCAAACAAAGGAAAGATCTGAATTTGTTGAAAGTTTTAAAAAGTGAGAACTGGGAAATCACATAGCGATTAAACTTTACCCAGACATGGAAGTTTGCAAACAGCCGCTGCTCGTGGCCTGAATAAAAATGTGCAAATAATGGCTGAGCGAGGTCAAGGTCTGCTCTGTGGAATCAAACAGCAGCAAGACTGTGGACACTGTGGTCATTCATGGCCATATACAGTGGGCTGAGAAAAGGCCAGCGGTGGAACAACATGTGTAGGAGGGGTTAGCTAAACAGACATGGACACCACAAGATCACATGCGCAAGCGGTCAGCAAGAAACTTAGCAAAGACAAAACAAAATACACCTGAACCATGGACAGTTTAGCGCATTGGAAAGACTCCTGAACAATCAGGACCTGCAGCACCTTCAATGTTCAAGTGGTTTAAGCGCTGGTGCAGAATTGGAACACTTACATTACATTGTATATACACATTATAGCAATTTTATAATAAATACAAATAATCTTTTTTCATTACCATATAGTGTAAAGAATAATAAAACGTATGCAGGGCTAAAATGATTAATCAAGTTTATTATTTTTTCTATTACAAAAAATATTCCATTAAAGTTACTGCCCTGTTCATCAGGGAGCGGTTTCCTTGTGCACCTAAGGCAACAAGGATTTTACAAGATTCTACTAAATCTGCATATCTGGGATGTTTAGAAAAAAGTAATTGAAATAGATCACTCCATTATTAAAATAATCCATAGCTGCAGCCATAATCTTATGCTTTTCCTTTCATTGTCATTTATCAAACTGTGTGGAGATGAGCCTTTACTATTTTATTATCTGCTTTATTTTATTTACTGCTGCATCTTCTATTAGATGGAAAACAATTATGTTTTTCAAACTCTAAAAGGAGGAAAGGAGGGTGCTAATCCTCCTGGAAACAAGAAACGGTCACATGATGTTGATTAAAAATGTCCCACCTCTGTCCCCATTGGCATTATCTTAAAAGAACACTCAAGATGTGTACGTTTGACTAATTTGGTGTTTGCTTTTAATAAATATAGTAGTGTCTGTATCCAGTTGTGTGATTATATGTATTTACCCAAATGTCCACTTATAATAAATAAGCTTGTCACGATAATGACTGTAATGAATGTATTTAAAAAAAGTTCAAAATAATAAAATAGTATTTTAATTTTTTATTAAATATATGAATAGATTTTTTTTTTTGCACTTTCATCCATGAGACAGTAGTTTCCGTATTATTTGTTATTACCGTAATTAACAAAAGGAATCGCTCGTCTTTCAAAATGAGTTAAAGTGAAATTCTAAATCATGTTTAAGGCTAACATTTCAACTACAAGTAATGCTCAGGGAAAATGCTCTTCCTGCATGTGCCGACAATAACTTAAAGCTCCTTATCACTCTAACCTGGCAGCTATAGGCACCTTGTTGACTTGGAAAAAAGGAATGAGTAGAAATAGTTTATAAGTGGGAGGTCATGCACTGTTGTCTCTGGGAGTGGGAGTCTCTTGTGCCCAGGAGGAGCCAAATGTTGCATTCCAGCATATGGCGCAGTTCAGACAACAAGCGGCCCTTCTGTAGTTTTAATAGCACCAACTCCCCCTTCACCTTTATCACGGACTGTACAAGCTTCTGTGTGCGCGTGTGTGTGTGTGTGTGCGTGTGTGTCTATGGGGAGGGGGGGTGTTAGCCTAGCCACGGTCTACACAGCTGCCCTCCCGCACATCACATTCCTCCACTAACTAAGTGTCAGGTGGCATCAATCTAATGATAGCCATCAAGCGAACAGTACTTTTGTGTGCGTGTGTATGTGAGAGCGTGCACGTGCTATGGCATGGTGTAGGAGGGGGCATTCCTATGTGATGGCTGGACCTGCCCTGCGTATGTCAGCGTATAAATGCACTGGGCTGACCGCAAAAAATATATATATATCTGCTGTCTGCATAATAAATCATTCACACCTTTTGATGGTTTCCTGCATCAGCTCTTCAGTGCGAGTTTTTGATGTGTGTTACTTCCTTCTACACAGTACAAATGTGATTAGTACCAAATTATATTAAAAAAATATGTAACACAGGAATAACCTCAAGTTAGGGCAGCAACTAATTTCAAATCGATTAATAGTTTAGAGAACAGCTGAAAATAAGTCACCAGAGGACACCCTATATTTTTTAGACATTTACAGAATTCTTTTTTTTATTTTGTGATTTGTGATTTTGTAATAAACTCCCACTGATTGTCTCCACAAATAAATTAAGATTGGTTACTGAAATAGCTGTTGATTATTGAACTGCTTTAACTTTGCAGAATATAAAGCTAAACAAAAATTATCTAGAGATGATGATGCATATGTTTTGATGTGTTTTTTGATCATTTGCAAAACCACAAAGCACATTTAAAAATAAATTCAAAATGGCACCCGATTTTTTTAACCACCTGAACATTTGAACAAAGCTGCTTAAATGTCTGGATCAGGTTTATGACAGAGAGGTAATAATACTCTTCACTCTGACATAATCCTTTATGAACAACCCCCACTGTGAGAGAACACAAATGATGGGCTGCCGTTGGTAGATTCCCCTATCACATCATGGGACCTCACCCCAAAAAGGGCATCTTCAGCGTCCATGGTGCAAGAAACGGGGAGCACCTGTCAAAAGCTCCTGCAATAACATGAGGCTGGTGGTCAGTGAGAAAGGTCAGCAAGTTTCAAGAGTAGAATACAATAAAACTAAATCCACTGACTGTAGTAGGTGGGAGGGGGGAGGTAATAACATGGTTGTGTTTCTGCTCTAGGTTCACTTCAAAGTCCTTACTGTAGAAACTCTCCGGCACTGAGGCTTGTGGCCCAGCTGCGATCACACAGGAAATGTCAAGGACAACAAGCCTGAAGTAGCCAACTCATAAATCGAGAACATGACGAGTCTGTAATACATCACCCCATCATGCTTTTCCTTATCATGCTAAATATGGTTATGCCAAGAAAACTATTCTCATTACCAACAAGGAAGAGGAAGTGAGAATTAAAAAATTGCTATATTTTAACGCTAGCCAATCAGTGCTTGTGAGACCAAGACACCGTGGGAAAAGGGGGTCTCAAACTCTGTTAAGTAACATTTTGGTTGAGGAAATGTATTTAACACTGGAACTCCCAGAGCAGTCAATTTGATGGCTTTCTGTTTTGGAGTGTAATTTCTCAGCACATTATTGTGACTTTTTCTATTATTTTTTTTAAAGATGTAATTTATTTCTATGTAATCATGTTTATGAAACTATCTCAATCCAAGACGGTTACCATAGCAACACACAGTTCATAGTATTTTTTTAATAGTTTTGTTGTATTTCAGTTATATTAACCAGTGTTAGCATATACTATTAAATTAAAACAGTGTTCACTCAATTTTAATAAAAGTAGTGAAAAACTAAAACCTTTCCTTCAGAATCCCATTAATTTGAACATGAGCCATCTCATTGCTCTGGAGTTCCAGTAGTTTCAGAATTCTGGGAGTCCTAGTGTTAATACCTTTACTGAGAGTTTACACAGGCTTTGCATTTTCTGTTTATACCGTACCAAAAAAAAAAAACACAATTAGAATCACATTAGTGCTACCTGCAGGAGATTTGCAAATGAGGTCACGTATTCTATTGTGCAGGTCAGAAGTGTTGTATCCTGTTCTCTGTTTATCTGGCTCTCTCATCAACAACATCAGTCCAAGTCTGAGGGGTGTTCCTCTCTGGATTTTGCAACCCCTGCTCACTGCCTAAATGCAAAGAAAATAACTGAAGAGGGGGACAAGGTGGCAAATGGAGAGGCACACAGACAGGAAGTGGGTGTAATTTCCT